CTCGCGCAACAACTGCAAGATCTCTTAGCAGGACGGAGGCGCCGTGAGCTTCGAACGTGTCCGCACCCACCCACCGATGTACAGATGTTTGCACACTTCACCCTTTTCGACTGGATCCCTTCGGACGGGCCTCGGCTGCTCCTCTGCCGGCGCGTGTGAGCGTTGGGAACGTGCTCACGTTTGGCCTCGCATGTGAAGCGCGGTGCCGGCCGGGGGGGAGAGGACTCTGCCAAGTGACCCTCCAAGAATGCTTTGGGCTTTGCCTCTCGGCCTGGGGTGGAAAATTCAGCAGCTGCCGGGTTGGGGAGGGGGGAAGGGGAAAAAGCTCATCCAGTTTCGATGGAGAAATGGATTTAATGGCAGATTGAGAGGCTTAAGGGAGTAGGCAAGGAGAGTCTGTGCTGCAACTTTAACTCTTGGACTCCTGAACAGATTGCTGGTGCAATAGCGGCTGTTGGATGTAGTAAAGAAAATGGGGACAGGGGACTAGTGACCGTTTCCACCAGGATGTTAACCTGCTGTTGCCAAAAAGAAAAGAGGGGAAGGAAAAAAAAAAAAAGGCAGGAGTTGGCCGACTTGGCAAGCTGAAGGAAGCAGTCTGCTTGCCTTCTTCGTTTATTTATGTAAATAGTATACATATATATATATCACTTGTTTTTTAAGGTTTTTTTTAAGAAGCAGTCAGGGAAAATTTTATGCAGCCATGTAAATAAAAGCACGGGATTAACTTGACCAGTGTCAGCAAAAGGGGAAAAATGGAGGATTTTAAGATGAAAATACACAAATGCTTTAAGAGACTTCCAGTCGCTGCCAGGATTTATGCTGGGATTTTTAAATACTACATATGCAGAAGGAAAGAACGATTGGCGTGTTACGTACCCCAAGCTGCTTTACTCTGATTGTTCCCTAAAACTTGAGTGCCGAAGGCAGGGTGGGATTTAGAATCGATTCGAGGGCAGAGCAGGGGCCTGGGGCTGGATTTTGTTTTCAGCGGGCAGGACAAAGAGGCAGCTCTGAGGTTTGAAGCCACCCAGGCGACCGACCGACGCCTCGATCAGGTGCACATTAGAAGATGTGAGGAGATCAGGGGCTGAGGAGCAGCGGGGGCAAGCCCTGAGCCTAAAGCAGCAGGAAGGTGCCGACCTTGTCCTGTATGGGGAGCAGCGCAGCAGAGCCCTGCCTCCACCATGCTCCTCCTGGATCCTCGCATTGCCACCCCGTGAGACTGGCCCTGAATCCTGCCTTTTTTGCTTTGCTTTCCCAAAGATGCCCTGCCTGAGCTCGTGCTGCTGTGGCTCCTCCTGGATGAAAGCGGGCAGGGGCAGACGCAGCTCGTCCCGCTGGAGGTGAAGGAGCAGCAGTGGGGCTGCGGCTGGGGGTGGACGCTGGGCGCCGTTTGCGCAGCAGGGCAGCAGTCACCGGCCCCCACGTCCCGCCGTGGTGAGCGTGCTGGGCTCGTGGCCACGGCAGGGATCAGGAAAGCCGGCTGCTTTGTCCTGTGGGACTGCTCCTGGGTTTTAGAGGACGTGCAGGCTCGGTGGCGAGAGCCTGAGATACGCGCCTGGGGCAGGAGAAGATCTGTCAAACAAAGGCATGCGCATCCCTGGCACAGCCCCTTGGCACTGTATTGGTTTGTGATGGAAATTCACCTGGAAACTGAAAACTCACACCTAGACCTTACTGCAGCAGAAGAGCAGGGCCTGGCAGCGGTACTGAGCTGTGCTGACAGGTCCCTGCAGCCAGCCAGGACGTGTGGATCGCGAGCACCGTGGCAGAAAGCGAACTGCTCTTCGTCTCCGCGGAGGAGAGCAGCGGTGCAGTGCTGCCATCTTCCTCCTGTTGTCAGCAACTCCTCGGGGCCTCGGTGTGCTCCTCTCCTCTCCTCTCCTCCCAAAGCTCCCCGTCGCCTTGCACGGGCAGGATGAAGCCGCAGCAGTTTCTGCGAGGCTGACGACCCCCTTGGTGCAAGCAGCAGGCGGGCGGGCAGCCCCCTGCCCTGGGCGAGGAAGGAGCCTTCCCCCTCCCCGCTCCGCGGAACAAAACCCAGCGCTGGGGTGGGTTTCTTGGCTTGTCCCTGGTGTGCTTTATTGCCCAGCTCAAATGAGCGGGGAGAGAATTAAACCCCGGGCAGAAGGGGGGGAGAAGAATCCTTTGTAGTGGTGATTTGGCTCAGGAGCAAAGCTGCAGCCGATTTCGGCACGGAGGCCGGGGGATTTCTGGAACCTGTCTGGGACGGCTGGCACCTGTTTCCCATCACTTAACACACAGCAGAAGACAATCGCTGGCTCAGCAGCCCGGCGGGCTGGGGATATACGGCCAACAGGTGATGCACCCCAGCCCTGCAGAAGGCAGCTCCTCCTGGAAAACATCTCCTGGGCAGCGCGGGGCCGGGCTGCAGGCGGCCTCTCGCCTCCGCAGCAGCCAGGCAGCGGCGCGCGAGGCGGAGAGGCACGAAGGTTTCCTTCACAAAGTCACAAAGCTGCTGCATGTGTAGAAAAACTCGACGTACCTCTGCTTGGTTTTGCTTTGAGACGTGCGGCACCTCCTGCGCCTTTTGCCCAAAGCTGATTTTTTTTTTATTTTTTTTTTTTTCATCCTGTAAAGTTCAAGAGATCCCGTCTGGAGGGAGAACGAAAGATTCACCCGGAATGTTTGCTCAGCAATTTATTTTATTATTTTTTAATTTAAAAAGGAAAAGAGGTCCTTGCATCTGATGTCAACACTAGTCTTTAGCTGCTCTCCAACACTTGTACCATTCCTGAGGGTTGTGTTTTGGTTTTGTTTCTTGGACTGTCCTTTTATTTTTTTATTCCTTTGTACAGTCAGTGTTGTTCAACTGATTATACATGGTTTTGTTTTATATAAATTAAAGCCTTTTTTGTTTTGAACTGCCAACCAGGAGCTGGAGGAGTTGTATCAGGGTTTTTGGGGGGGTGTGGGAGGAGGCTGGGAAGAGCTGTAAAAGAAAAAGTGGTGGTTTTGCCCCAAACTGGGCAAAAGCAGGTGTGCTTGTGATGCTGGTGTGTGCCCATCCAGCAACAGGAGCTGATCTCAGCTTCCCTTTGGGGAGGTGGGAATCTTAAACTCCTGACACTGGTTCTGGTGTTTTGCCCTGCTCCATACATACAAAAGCTAAAATTGTTCTCATCAAAAGCTCGATTGTCACACCATGGCTGAGGCTGGGTGGCTTTGAGCAAGCAGAGCCCAGCCTGGCAGGGGCTGAGTGCTGGAGGAAGGCGCCGTCCCCGTGGTGCCCAGTGGGTTTGCGCAGCCGCCCCATGGCCCTGGGAGCTGGGTGCTGGAGTCCAGAGCCAGCAGCTTGCTGCGGGGCTGGAAGGAAACTTCTCCTCGCCCCATCCTCTTCTGCTCCCAGCCCACCTCCCCGTGACCTCCCTCTTCCCCTGCCTGCTCACTTCCCGAGGATCAGATTTTCCACTTCGTACCAGACCGGCCACGCTTGTTTTAACAGCTTAAGTAATTATTGCTGGGGCGGGGAGGGGGCAAGGGGGGAAATCAGATAGCGTCTGCAGCCTGGAAAACCCTGAACTAAGGTAAAAGCTTGGCCGGGGAAGAGTCACGGAGCCCTTTTTGTTCTCCGGGTGGCTTCTGGCAGCGACTGCTCCTCAGCAGCACGGTCTGGCCGAGGGCTGTGGGTGGCTTCAGGTGGGGGAAGCGCCAGCAGGAGCCAGCTTCTGCGGGGGCAGCAGGGCAAGGAGATGCCGTACGCAGCATGCTGTGGCTCTGGCCGGTCCCGTTGTGCCCCCCGGGTTGTTCCATGGGGCTGTGGGGTCGAGGCAGTGCCCCCCTGCCCCTACCTGGGCTGCTCAGTGCTGGGGTGCGGTGGCCGTGTTGCTGGAGCAGGAGCTGTCACCCTCACTAGGGCTCAGGGCTGCTGAGCAAAAGCCACCATCGGCGTCTGTGACCTTGAAAATGACCCCCAAAAATCCCTGCTCTGGTGCACGATGCGTGTCTGAGCGGTGGCTGGGGCTGGGAGCAGAGCTGGGCACGGTGATACAGCCATGGGAACAGCAGATGAAGTCCCAATTCCTGAAAGCCTTTAGATGATGAGGGTTTACCGTGTGCTTGTTCTGGAGGGCAGGAGGATTGCCTCGTCGACCCCGTCCTGAAGCAGCAGCAGCACCACTGGGGGAGGCGAGGGCTGGAGGTGCCCGTCCCGTCCCCAGGGTCTCCAGGTGGCCATGCCCCCGTGGCTGCACCTCGGCTGGAGCGAGGGGGGATTGGGGATGGGGGCGCGTGGGGTCTCCGCACAGAGCCCCGTGGCTGTGTGCAGGGGGTGCAGGGGGCTCCAGGCTGCTGTGCTGCCCCTCGGGCTGCTCGGATGCGATTCTCCGTTTGCAAAATCTCTCTCCAGCCTCCCCGCTGGTGTCCCAGGGCGGCACAACCTCCCCTGCACACCCCAAACCAACTCAGCCAAGGGGTTGTCCGCACCTGGGGGACGGGGTGATGCCCAGGGGACAGCCTGGACCTGGTGCTGACTTGCACGTTTTGCCACCCCTCAGCACTACGACGGGCTGGGGGTTAAAAAAAAGGCTAAGGAAGGAGCGCACCCAGCTCTGCCTGCGCCTGGCGGGGGTTTGGTGCTCATCCAGCTCCCAGGTCAAAGCTCGGGTCGCGGCTTCTGCCAGTGCTGCAGGAGTTAATGCTCCCCAGGCCGCTCCGAGACCCTTCCTGCCGCAGGTCAGTCTCCAGCAGGGATTAAGGGAATCTGGCTGGGAGCAAGGGCCGGCTCCTGCCAGCTTAGGGCCGGCTCCGGGAGGTGCTGTGCAAGGCAGCGGTGGGGTTGCAGCCCCAATGCAGGGTCCGGCCGGGGTCTGGCACGGCCAGGAGCTGCCTCCCCGGAGCAGAAAAATACGGAGCGTAAAAACCCAGCTGCACATCATCACCGGCTGCTGCTGGAGCGGGGAGGGAGGGAGGGCCGGCTACAAACCTAGGGGTTTACGGGGGGCTGGGGGAGCCCGCAGGTGCCCAGAGGAGAAGGCAGACGTGGGGTGGGGGTCCCAGAGCAGCCCCCAGCATGGCCCTGCAGCCCCCCAGCCCCACTGCCCGGCTGCTGTAGCCCGGATCTGCGGCCGGCGGTGCCGTGGGGCTGGGGGCTGCGGCTGCTTCCCCGCCAGCAGACCCGGGGTGGCCGAGCCGCGGCGGGCAGACAACAGGCTCTGGCTGTTTTCTCATCCTGCAGGAATTCGGCTCCATGGGCCGGGCATTTTTTTCCCCTCCTTTCACTCTCTCTCTTTGGAGACTTTCCGCATTCTGCCTTTGATCTCCCCCCTGTGTTTGCCCAGTCGATCGGCTCAGACGGGGTTAGAGGCTGAGGTCAGCGCCTTTTCCATTCCAAACACCCAGAAACATCAGTGAGAAGGGAGGGGATTCAGATTACAACCTTCCCGTCCTCCCCTTCCACCCCTGCCCCACACGCAGGCTGCACCCCAGCCCCACTGCCCGCTCCCGCCGTGCTGGGAGCTTGGCCCTGCCGCCACCGCCACGGCTTCGGGGTGCCAGGCATGGAGTGAGCCCCCCAGGCAGCACTGGGGACACCAGCGAGGCTGAGCCACCACCGCACGATGCTGTCCCCATCACCCTGAGGGCTCAGCGATGGACGGAGGTGCCGGGCAGCATCCCCGCAGAGCCAGCACGCTGCAGGCGCACTAAACCACAGCGGTTTGGACCTCATCTCCTCCTCCTCTTTGTCCTCCCTGCCTCCTTTTTGATTTTTTTTTTGATTTTTTTTTTTTCCCTTCCATCCAATGTGATTTGTGCCGAGCTTCGCGGCAGGGCACAGGGCAGCCAGATGCCTCGCCGGAGTTTTGGCCGCCCGGGACCCCGGGTGCACGCAGGCGGGCGGCAGCTCGGCGGGGCTGAGCCGATGCTTGCGGCTCTGCTCCTGCCCTTGCTGGCCGCCGTCGCCACCGGGCTGAGCCTGCAGCCGGTCAGGATGAGGCACCTGGGGGTCTGCCCCAACCAGCTGAACCCCAACCTCTGGGTGGACGCGCAGAGCACCTGCGAGCGGGAGTGCCAGGCCGACCAGGTGAGTGGGGGGCTGCGTGGGGGCTGCGGGCACGGATGGGATGGCTTCGGGTGCTGCTGGGGCTGCACGCAGCTGCTTGGAAAAAACCCATGTGGTTTTGTGGGGCTGGGGTGTCCCCAGGGGGTGCTGGTTCCCAGTGTGTCGGGATGGCTGGTCCCAGCGCTGGGGGCTGCAGCCGGTGCCCCGCGTGCTCAGCCCCTCTTGCCACCTCACCCTGCCCTACACGAGCGGTGCCCTGGGACTGTTCCCAAACCCTGCAGCAGGCAAAGCTACGGCTCATTGCCCCACCGTGTCCCCCCCAGCCACTCTCCATGTCTAAGACCTCCCCCCTGCCCCATACACCCCCAGGATGCCCCCAGCTGGTTGTGGGACTGCACCGCTGAGACGAGGGGTGTGGGTGCACCGGGACTGCTCCCCCCACCAAGCCCCTCAGCTTTCCCAGTGCTGCCCATCCCAGGGGACTGACCATGCTGCAGCTCATCACTGCAATGAGTTCTGCCTCCCCTCAGCCAGCCGAAGCTCAGCAGGGGGGGGGACAGCGCCGGGTCCCCTCTCAGTGCACCCACGGGGGCAGGTCCTCACCGGGTGACCGCGCTGCCCCGGGGCCTGGCATCGCTGCGCGGGGGGGGGCTGTCTGTGCCTCACCCCCACCATCCTGGGGGGCTGAGTTCAAGCCTGGGTCCGGGCACAGCTGTGCAGGGAAGGTCCAAGCTCAGACCCAACACCCATAGGAGCCCACGAACGATGGAGGCTCTCCAGCAGTGGGAGCATCCCCGCAGCGGTGGCACGGCGCTGACCCCTCTCTCCCCTCCTTCTCCTTCCCTTCCCCTCCTGGCCAGGACTGCGAGGGCTTCGAGAAGTGCTGCACCAACGTCTGCGGGCTGCGCAGCTGCGTGGCCGCCCGCTTCGCCGACGGCAGCCTGCCGGCAATGGAGCTGGGCCGCGGGCCCTCGTGCGAGAGCTTCGTGTGCGCGCAGCAGGGCTCTGACTGCGACATCTGGGACGGGCAGCCCGTCTGCAAGTGCAAGGACCGCTGCGAGAAGGAGCCCAACTTCACCTGCGCCTCCGACGGCCTCACCTACTACAACAAGTGCTACATGGACGCCGAGGCGTGCCTGCGCGGCACGCGCCTCACCACCGTGCCCTGCAAGTACATCTTCACCTGGCCCGACACCAGCCCCGTGCCGCGGGAGACGACGGCGCGGCCCACGCCGGGTGCCGGCCCCGAGGTGCCGGTGCCCCCCGCCCTCTACAGCAACCCCTTCCACCAGGCCGTGCGCGCCGGCGGCACCGTCAGCTTCCGCTGCGACGTGAGCGGCCGCCCGCGGCCCGACATCACCTGGGAGAAGCAGAGCGACCGGGCCGAGAACTTCATCATGCGGCCCGACCAGATGTACGGCAACGTGGTGGTCACCAACATCGGGCAGCTGGTCATCTACAACGCCCGCCAGGAGGACGCCGGCATCTACACCTGCACGGCCAGGAACGCCGCCGGGCTGCTGCGCGCCGACTTCCCGCTCTCGGTGCTCAAGAGGGAGCCCGGGGGGGCCCCGCGGGCCAGCAGCCCCCAGCCCTTCCCCAGCGCCGAGTGCCTGAAGGAGCCCGACCGGCGCCGCTGCGAGGCCCTGGAGGTGCGCTGGCACTTCGACGCCAAGCAGGGCTCCTGCCTCACCTTCCGCTACGGCGGCTGCGGCGCCAACAGGAACCACTTCGAGACGTACGAGGAGTGCCGCGCCGCCTGCCTGGGCAGCGCCCGGCCCACCTGCCTGCTGCCCATGGTGCAGGGCCCCTGCCAGAACTGGGAGCCCCGCTGGGCCTACAACCACCTGCTGAAGCAGTGCCACTCCTTCGTCTACGGCGGCTGCGAGGGCAACAACAACAACTTCGACAGCAAGGAGACCTGCGAGGACGTCTGCCCCTTCCCCAAGAGCCTGCAGTGCAAGGCCTGCCGCCTCAAGAGCAAGATGGTGCTGAGCCTCTGCCGCAGCGACTTCGCCATCGTGGGGCGGCTGATGGAGATCGTCGAGGACCAGGACTCGGGCATCGCCCGCTTCGCCCTCGAGGACGTCCTGAAGGATGAGAAGATGGGCCTCAAGTTCTTCAACATCAAGTACCTGGAGGTGACCTTGACCGACATGGACTGGAGCTGCCCCTGCCCCAACATGACGGCCGAGGACGGGCCGCTCATCATCATGGGCGAGGTGCACGACGGCATGGCCACGCTGGACCCCAGCAGCTACGTCCGGGCAGCCAACGACAAGCGGGTGAAGAAGATCTACGAGCTGATGGAGAAGAAAACCTGCGACCTCCTCAACCGCTTCCAGGACTAGGGGCGAGCCGGGATGCGCAGACGCGGGGGCTGCGGGGCTGCAGACCCCTGGTGGGGGGGGACAGGCACGCCCAAGCCCGCATTTATTTAGCAGTTATCACCATTTTGTAGTTCCCTCCCCTGTAATTTATCTGTCCGCATGCCCTCCCCATGTACCCCCAGCCTGGGCAGCAGCAATAAAGGACTGGGCTGGGTTGCAGAGGGGTCTGCCCGGCCCCCCGCCCACGACAACCTTCCCGCAGCACCGAAGCCTGGGGTGCAGCGTGATGCCCTTGAGCGGCTGCGCGCTGCAGGGCTCTGGGCAGGGGCTGGTGCCCCACAGCCTCAGCGCTGGGGGGCGGTGATGGAGGGAGAGCCCCCACCCCAAATGTGTCTCTGGAACAGGGACAGTGCGTGGCGGCTGGGCTGGAGCTCTTGGGAAGCTGCTGCTGGGGCGCAGCCCCCCCAGACTTTATTGGGGGCAGCAGCGTGGTCCCATGTGGGGAATGGGGTCCCACAGCTCGGCACGGTGCCTGCCCGGAGACACGGAAACCGGCACCGGGAGAGAGCTGCCCCCTGCGCCCCCTCCCAGATTGTGCCACCCAGGGAGTCCCATGGAGGAGCCAGAGGAGATGGAGCCGAGACCTCTGGCCGGGGCAAGCCGTGGCGCTGCGCCCTCGTTGCCATGCCCAGTCCCTTGCGAAGCACTGGGAGGTGCCTGCAGGGCGCAGCGGGTTACAGCTTGCGGAAGATGAGGCTCTTGTTGTTGGCCGGCATGTCCACCTGCAAGCACAGAGCTGGGGTCGGGGGGGGGCCACCATCACGGGGACCGTCCCCCCCAGGGACTCAGCACCTACCATCCTCTCCAGGCGCATCCCGTTGGCCTCAGCCAGCTGCCGCAGCAGCGCCGTGTCCCGAAGGCCCCAGGCGGGGTTGCTGCCGGGAGGGGAGGCACCGGTGAGCCAGGCGGACGGGCAGGCAGACACCTCACCCCCAAAATGACCCCATCTCCCAGGGGTGCCCCGAGGAGCCCCTGCTTTAGGTCTTTCCCCGAGGGATCCCACTCGGAGGGTGGGCACGCGGTGGGCAGTGCCAGCAGGGTGGGCAGCGGGGGCAGCCCCAGGCAGGCTGCTCGGACCCCCAGCCCCTGGCTTCCCCCTCCTACCTCTGCCTCAGGCTGCGGTCAAACTCCACGTTGCTCTGGGGACTGATCTGGCCATCCACAGCGTACGGCTGCCGGGACACAAAGCCGGAGCTGTGGGCTCGAGCCACGGCTCCCTGCTGGAACCCCCAGTCCCTGTCCCTGTCCCGCAGAGGTCAAGCAAGAAGGGACACGGCCCTGGAAGGAGCCACAGACGCTGTCACCCACCGCAGGGCTCCCAGCCTCTGCTCTGCTCCTCTGCAGAGTGTTTTGGGGTGATGCTTACACCCAGCAGACAGCACCCCTGCAGTGCTGGGGGCGAATGGCCAAAGCAGCCCCATCCCGAGCTCACAGCACTCCCCAGAAGATCGATCCCCCCTTAACTTGAGCCCCCCTTTTCCCAGCCCAGGGAATCCCCCCTCTGCCCCCCAGCAGGAGCTCCAGCATCCCCAGTGCCACCCCTGACCCCATTGCCGTGCTCCCACCCGGCCCTTGGAGCAGCACCCACCCCGTAGGTGAAGAGCACTCCTCCGGGCTTCAGCAGCACCCCGGCCCCCTTGAACAGCCCCTGGGGAAAGAAAGAAGCAGGAGCTGGGTCAGGGACACCCCACAGCTGATTTCCCAACCCCGGGCACTGCAGCCTTCACCCCGAGCCCCCCAATAAATACAGGGAGCTGCACCCGAGCCCCCCACGCCCCCAGGGGCACCGCTCACCTCCGTGCAGCGCAGCTCCGAGATGTGCATCATGTTGATGCTGACGACGAGGTCGAGGGTGGCGGGTTGGCTGCCCCCCCAGGTCTCCCAGCCCTGCGAGACGTCCAGGTAGATGGGCGGCAGCATGTTGGGCACCTGCATGGCCTCTGCGTAGGCAGCGATGCTGCGGGCACAACCCCCCCGTCAGCCCCAGCGCCGCCCCGCACCAGCACCCGAAGCCCACCCGCCCCGTGGGGCTCCCAGGTGGAGTCTCTGATGTCTCGTAATAAGGCTGTGCTCGCATCCCAGCAGCGGAGGGGGGCACGAGCTTGGCTCTGGTGCTTCAGGGGCTGCGGGATGAGGGGGCACTGCATGAGCCTTGCCTCCGCTCACATCCAGGGAGCTGCTTTAAGAACACACTGAAAAATCCCAGAGAAACCCTCTAGACACCGCTCCCGGGTCCCAGCACTGCTTCTTCCAGCCCCGTCCCCAAAGGGCTCAGGGCAAGCAGCACAACCCCTCCACCCTGGCTCTGAAAATCAGCCTGGACGTGGCCAGAGAAGGGCTGGGAGTGCCCCACGACGGTTTGGCCCTGCGCTAAACCTCCGCCCCAGCCCAAGGAGTATTTTTAACCAGGGCAGCGAGTGCTCGGGGCTGCTCCCGACGAGGGGACGGGTGGAAGGACGCGGGCTGAGCCCCCCGGCCCCGGCGGTTATTTCTGCCCCTCTGCAGGGAGTGATTTGCTGCTGGGGAATTCCTCTCCTTTTAAGAGCCCGCGTTTATTTTGGTTTCCTCGCTGGAAAACCGAGCCCGTGCGGCGCGGCAATGCCTGGAATGGGCATCTGGGCAGCCCCGCAGCGCGAACAACCGGGGGCTGGCGGCTCCGTCGGGGGGCTTGTGGCTCTGTCGGGGGGGGCTGGTGGCTCCTCGGGGGGGCTGGGGGCTCGTGGAGGATTGTGGCTCTGTGGGGGGGCTGGTGGCTCCTCGGGGGGCTGGCGGCTCCGTCGGGGTTCCCGGCGATGCCGGTGGGCAGCGGGGCGCGGTGCCCCCCGCATCCCCTCGGCGTCGCACGGCCCCCCCCGGGAGCCACCCAGAAGCAAACGCTGCCAGCCGGAGACCCCCGGGGGGGGGGTTCAGCCCCAGCTCGGTTCCCGCTGCAGCCCCCCCCGGGCAGCCTGGAGCCGCCGTCCCCAGCCCCTCTCCTCTCACCTGCGCAGCGCCCGCGGCTCCACGTCGGAGGGCAGCCAGCGGGCGTGCGGCAGAGCCCGGGCGCAGTGCGCGGCGTGAAGCCCCGAGCCCGCCCCCACCTCCAGCACCCGCACGGGGCCCGGCCCCCCCGCGTAGTCCCGCAGCACCGCCAGGATCGGGCCCTTGTTGCGCTCCGCAGCCGCCGGCGCCAGCATGGTTGGACGGGGCGGGCTGGGGGTGGCACGGCTCGGGGAGGCTCGGGGAGGCACGGCACGCTGGGGAGTGTAGTCGCAGGGCACGGGACTACAGCTCCCAGCCCGCCCCGCTGCTGCCACCCTCCTTCCTCCTCCACCCCCCCAAAAAAATAAAAAATAAAAAATAAATAAATAAAAATAAACGACAGCCGCCCTCGCCGCCGTCCCGGCCCCGGACGTGGCAAAAAAAAGGCCGAGGTTTTACGTTAAAAGGTGAAAAGGGAATTTCGTCGAGATTGAAGAAAAATAAAAGATAAGGAAAAAAACATTCTGCGCCGCCCGGGAATCGAACCCGGGTCGCAAGAATGGGAATCTTGCATGATACCACTACACCAGCGGCGCCGCTGGTTGCAAAATCCAGCCCGGTCCCTTTTGACTCCATCCCAGGCCCCGTTTTCCCCCCCTGCAGCGACCCCCGACGGCCCCCAACGACCCCTGACGGCTGCGGTGCCCCCGCCGAAGCCCGGGGTGCTGCGGGGCTCCGGATCTGTGCGTGGCAAAGCGTGGGGAGGCCTCGTGCACACAGGGTGTCCTCGGCCATCTGCTGCTGTCTCGGGTGGGGAAACTGAGGCACGACCCCCCCCGGGTGCAGCAGGATGGGAACACCGAGGTCCCCCCGGGCTGCAGGGTCACAGTCACGTTAACCAGGGCCTGCTGTGTGAGGTATCCCCGAGGGGTTGGGGGAGCTCCGGGGGGCTGCTGGCTGCACCCCCGTGGGCCACCCAGGGGTGCCCAGCACCCTGCAGGATCGGACCCTGCTCATCCCCACCTGCACAAGTGGCACGGGAGGGCTGTGCAGGCCCCACAGCAAGGCTGGGGCATCCTCACCACCCCAGAGTGTTGTCCCACAGCCTCTCCCCAAAGCCCCCAAGCACTGCCCAGGGCAGGTGACACCACCCAGACATGGGGCCACCCCCAGCCCCACGCCTCCCCCCATGCGTTCTGGCCCGCAGACCTCGTGCACCTTCCCCGTCCAAAGGTCACCTCGGCACGGGGACGGGGCCGCAGCCACCCAGCCCCTCGTCCTGTGCTGTGGGGTGGCCCCATGGGGTGGAGTGTTGGGGGGCACACTGCTCCTACCCAGCTCGGGGACCTCGGGGCTCAGTGCTGGGGCAGCACCCAGGGGTGTTCCCGAGCCCTGTGCAGGTTTGGGGGCACAGAGTGCCAGGAGCGAGGTGCTGCCCCCACCCAGACCCAGGGCACCCTCACTGTCCCCAAATGCAGAGGGACAGGGGGTGGTGGCACCTCTGCGGCCCAGGACACGCGGTGCCAGCCGCAGCGCTCGGCCGTGCCCTGGCACCTCGCGCTGTCCCCTGCGTGTCCCCTGCGCGTCCCAGCCGCCGCTCCTCCTTGTCCCCTGCGCCTGCCATGTGTCCTCCCAGGGGTCCCGCGCGTGTCCCCCGGGTGTCCCCCGGGTGTCCCCCGGGTGTCGCACGAGTGACTCCTGCGCCCTCCCCGCCCCTGCGCTCCACGTGCGCCCTGCGCCCTCCACGCGCCCGGGGCCACCGCGGCCCCCACGCGCCCCACGCGCGCCCCGCTCCCCGCGTGGGGGACACCTCGCAGCTCCCTCCCCACCCCCCCGAGCCCCGAGCTCCCACGGCCACCCCCCAACCCCCCCCCTCCCCACGGCCCCGCGCTCTGCGAACCGCCCCCTTGGAGGGGGCGGTCCCGGTTAAAGGCCCCGGGGGGGCGCCGAGCGCACTCGGCCGGCAGGAGCGGCGGGGCCGTGCCGGGCCGGGCCGGGCCGTGCCGTCGGGGGGGGCCGCAGGATGTACACGCTGACACGCGGCCCCAGCAAGCTGGCCACGCAGCGCCGCACAGGTAGCGGGGACCGGGGAGGTTGGGGGGGGACACGGAGCAAACAGAAAAGGCGGAGGCGGAGGGAGGGAGGGGGGGGGCCGAGCGGCGGTGCCGGTGCCCCCCCGGCTCCTCGCCGCCCGGCTCTGACGGCCGCTGCCGCCCGCAGGTCCGACACAGCAGCCGGTGGAGAGCAAGGTGGGCGAGCCGCGGGGCCGGCTGCAGCCCGGTGCCTGGCCCCCCGCCAGGTGAGCCCCTCGGAGCGCCGTGACCTTGGGGAAAGGTGACCGCGGCCGTGCGGCGCCGGGACGGGACGCCACGGGGAGGGAGGGGGGGGCGGGACGGGGCACGGAGCCCCCCGGCAAGGGAGGGAGCGTGGAGGGTGAGGGGGGGAGCGGAGCGCGCCGGGGAGGGGGGTCCCGGTTGGGGGCTGCCCCCCGGGGGGCTGCTGGGGCTGAGCGCCGCGGGGAGGGGGCGCGGAGCCTCGCCGCCCCCCCGGGCAGCGCTAAGTGCGAGGTCGATCCCTCAAAGCCCGGGGGGGCCGGGCTGCGAGCTCCCCCCCGCAGGGAGCTGGGAGCCCCCCGCGGCCGGCCCCGGCGGAGTTGTGCAAGCGGCGGGGAGGGCCGGGCAGGGAGCGGGGCTCAATCGGTGCCCGCTGCGCCTCCAGCAGCCCGGCAGGGCCCCGCTGCGGTGGGTTACGGCCCCCCCGGGCTGTGCTCGGCCCCCCCGGGCTGTGCTCGGCCCCCCCAGGCTCTGCGAGCAGAGGGCTCCCCCCGGCTCCGTGCGTTTTGCCGGCTGCGCAAGGCAGCTCCTGCAGCCCGGGTCTGCTCCCTGCCCTCGCCACCTGTCCCTTTCCCTCCCCAAGGAAGGGGAAAAAAACCTTTGGGATGGGCTCCCAGCTCTCAGCAGGGGCTGGGGGAAGGGGGTTAAGCGGCTGGAGGGGGGAGATAACCTCCCTGAAGGAGGGCACTGCTGCTGCAGGCGTGGGGCTGGGGAGCTGGGGCGAGCCCCGGGGCTGGCTGTAGCGGGAGGAGGCGATGCTGCTTTCTCCCCTTTCCTCCATCTTCAAGAAATGCCTAAGAAAAGCTTCACCTCCAGCTTGCTTTCTTGCCTGTCATCTCATAAATTAACTGCTTGAACCGCTCTCCCTCCTCAGGGCAGGCCTGCCTGCTCACGCTCCCCGCTTCCCGCAGCAGGTGCTCGAACGTGCTGGGTGCCCTGGGGCTGTGTGGGGCTGGGGCTGGGGCTGCGGGGCTTTGGGGGAGCCTCCCCCTGCCCCATGCCTTGGGGCAGCTCCCGCAGGCTGCAGGGGCACGGGCAGGGGCTGCCTGCTCCAGCTCTGCTGCTCTGCAAACGTATTTTTCCAAACCCCCCCCCCCCCCCCCACGTGCTCTGGGGCCTTTCAGACTTTGTCCCGTGAGAAGCGTGACCGCTGCGAACGTGTCCTGCCCCAGAGCTGCTCAAGGGCAGCCCAAATACTGAACCTTGGCGTGCAGCACGCTGCCGAGCCTCGCTCCAGCTCCTCAGTTTGGGTCTGGCTGCCTTCGCAGGGTTTCCAGATGGGTTCGAGTGTCCTGCTCTGGGCAGGAGGGGTGCCAGGTCGCGGGGAGCCCGCTCTGGTCCCAGTTCCCAGACCTCTGTCCCAGTTCCCCCAGTGCCCTGTGGATGTGCTGCTGGAGCCGGGCACCCCGCTGCTGCAGCAGGAGGAGCGGGGCCGCTCCAGCGAGCTCGGCATCACGAGTTCAGATGTTTGCCTGTGCTCGGAGCACTTCCCACTGCCCAAACAACATCTCACTTCCATTTTCCTCGTGTTTCAGCAATTCCTCTTGGGCAGCAAATTTCCTTTGTGCCAGGGCGGGAGGGGGCAGCTCTTGCTTATGCTGTCAGCTCCCCTCCGGTGCTTGCAGGCGCAGTTCCCCTGGGGCTTTCCCCCACCCGTGGTGCCCTTCACCCTCCCAGCTCCTCTCGTGCTGGGTGACCTTTCCTTGCCGCCTGTTGCATCAGTTTTAACGCTTCCCAAGGTTTGCAGTCCAAGGCTGCCTGGCCGGGCACGTGGCTGTGCGCTACCCTCATTTAATGCCTCCGTGCCTCGGTTTCCCCTCGCCGTGTGGTGGAGGTGTTTGTCCTGAAGCACTCCAGGCTTTGCAGAGCTGCAGCAGCTGGCGGGTTCCTGGTGCCACACACTCGTGTGTCCCCCCCCGTGTCCCCTGCATGGCTGTGAGGGGCTGTGTGTGCCTCCCTGCACGGCGGGGGGGTGAGCAGCACGCCGTGCACCCTGGCACACTTTTCCCCGTTACTTTTGTGCCCAGCCTGCTTCCCTGTGCCCCCAGCCTAGCGAGCGTGCCGTCACCCTGCAGCAACCCTTCTGCCTTCACCGGGGGCACAGCCGAAACCTGAAAAGCAAAATGTCCCTGCTGGGCCCGGGGACCTGCCCGTGGGCACTGCCACCTGCCTCGGGGCCACCCGCGGCCTTCTTGCACCTTCAGGCCCAGGCTGGAGCAGGGGGGAGAAGGAATCGCTGAGCGCTGCCTTTGGGACCTGGGTGCCCACCCTGTCTGTCTGTCTGTCCGTCCTGCCCCTCCGTGCTGTGGGGCGATGGGGAGGGGACGGCACAGAGCCGTGGTGGCCCTGCCGCGTGGCCGTGTCCCCGCTGTCCCCTGGCAGCCCTGTTGGCCAGGCTGGAGGCTGGGGCTGGCTGCGTGTGCATCGCTTCCACGAGCTCCTGCGGCACCCGTCCAGCACCAGCTCCTCCTCCTCCTCCTCCTCAATCCTCGCCTTGCCCCCGCAGCCCGCTCCCGAAACTCGTCTTCAACAGAGTGAACGGCAAGCGGCCCCAGGTGCTGCTGCCACACACCGCAGGGCCCGAGGAGTGCTACACGGCGGCCCACGAGGAGAACGTCCGCTTCGTCTACGAAGGTGCGGGGGGCTCTGGGGGGGCCCCGTGGGGTGCTGGCTGCGGGCCCGGGCCTCACCCGCTGCCCTCTGTCCCCAGCCTGGCAGGAGGTCGAGCAGCAGCTGGACGACAGCCAGAGAGGGGAGAGCGCCCGCGGGCCCGTGCAGTACGTAGAGAAAACCCCGGACCCCAGCCTGAAATGTGAGTGAGGGTTGGGGTGGGGTGGAGAGGGGATGGGGGGGCCCACAGGCCCTGCTGCAGGCTCAGCCTCGCTGCTGCCTTGTCTCAGAGCGGTGCCTCCTCCAGCCACCAAAGGGGGGCCGATGCCATGTAGAGAGCCCCCGGTCCTGTCCTGGGGACCCCATAGCCCCAGCCTGGGAGGGGGCTCCAGGGAGGGGGGATCTCCGTGGTGTTTTTCCCAGCCACAGGGAATGCACACTGGTGGGAACACGCTGTGCTCTGCTGCCTTCTCCAGCTGCCCTCCTATGCTCTCTCCCTCCCCTCTCTTTCAGACTTTGTTCCCATCGACCTGGAGGAGTGGTGGGCAAAACAATTTTTGGCCAAAATCTGAACCGTATCATAAAAGGGAAGAAAGTTTTTTTTTTCTTCTTTTTTTTTTTTTTAAAAAAAAAAGAAGCTAAGAGCCTCTCTGGTCACACCCTGGACTCGGTGGTATTTAGGAACACCTTTTTACAAGATGTCAGCGACCCCGTGACCCCCCTCTGCCAGCCCCCCGAGGACGGCGGGACCGGACCACAGCCATGCCCGGCCACGCGCCCGCTCCCTGCGCAGGGCGGAGGAGCCGCGAGCGGCCCCGGCCGGGATTCCTCAAGTGCCACTTCTGAGACGTCTGCGGCTCCGGCAGCCCCCCCGGGACACTGCGGTGCCGTGCTGGGGCCAGGCAGGAGCAGCCTCTCCCCCCCCAGGAGGACAAGCAGGTGGCTGTAGCAGGACTGCCAGACAATAAAGCGCTCAAACTGCCCGTGGCGAGGCGCTTGCAGCGTGGCCGGGGAGGATTTGCTCGGTGGAGCAGCTGAGGCTGAGCTGGAGGAGAGCTAGGACAGTCCCCTGGCTTCCTCCAGGCCCTCCTCGGAGCTGCCTCCTGCTTCTTCCACCCCGTACAGGCCGAGGGAGGCTGCTGTGGGGGCACCTTTGGGGCAGGGGGGTGTCAGAACCGCGCTGTGCATCGTCTCTCCAGCACACGGGGGTAAAGCAGCAGGGAGAAGGGGGCGAGGGCCAGCACCGTCCTGCAGGGGAAGGGACGGGGGACACTTCCCCCAGAGGGGTGCTTGCAGCCCCAGCAGTGAGTGCAGAGCCCCACAGCCCACCACCAGCCCCCAGTTCCCTTCCTTTCCCACCCCTCTGCCACAGGACTCCGGCTGGAGCTGCCCCGGACTCTGAAGGAGGCCAGCAGACACCCACTGGAAAAAAAAATCTGTTTTATTCCTATGGTGGGAACAAGAACAGTGCTGCAGCCCCCCTGGGCACAGCAGCCACATCCCCAGTCCCCGCTGCTCCTGCCTGGGGCCAAGCAGCAGCTGCACCCCCGGCATCCCGGCCCCGCAGGAGGAGAGGTGCGGGACGGGGCCTTGGGGGATCCTGGGGGCCCTTGGGGACCACCCCACAGCTTTGGCTGTGCCTCAGGGTGGCCGTGCCCACCTGGGGCCAGCTCCAGCACAGGTCAGGAGCGCTCTTGGTCCTGTGTCAGGGACCTGCAGGCACCCAGCACCCCGTCAGGTCCCTCCTGCCGCAGCAGGACCCGTGCTGGAGGTGCGTGGCTGTGCCACCCAGCACTCCTGCCCCACTGCTCCCCTCTGTGGGTGCAGCTCTGCCCTGTCCTACTCGTCTCCCTCTGCCCCCAGTTGGCACCACAAGTTCAACAGGCTCTGGGCAGATCCAGGACAGCCCAACAAAGCAGCACACGTTTTCCTTGCAACTGAGCAGCTCAGAGCAGGGGAAGGTCAGGGGGTGCTGGGGTTTTCCTCCCCGGCTCCCTCATTATCCCCCGCGTGGTGTGGGGATGCTCCCAGCGAGCAGATCCCCTGCACCCACAGCCCAAGGGGGCTCCTCCTGGGTGCCGGGGGGCTGCTGCTCACCAATAAAAAACAGACTTGGTTAAGATCCAGGGAAATTCTTAGTAACATGATGCACCATCATCTTCAACAACAACAGTAGGCAAAGGGAAGGATGGAACAGGAAAGAACGATTTGGTTACAGGAACGAAACAAAAACCCAACCCAAAACGTAGCCCAACCCCTGACAATGCAATCACAGGAAGGGAATCAGCACCCCTTGCCATAAATATTAATTCATTTTAGTATGTGCAATTGTGTGTATTACTATAGTGCAAATAGCTCTGCATTGATCGCGGAGCAGCCAGCCAGAAGGGGACTGCCCGCAGGTGACACAGGGACTAGTTAGAGACAGACAAGAGTAAACACGTATGGAAAACAAACAAACGAAAAAAAGCAACGCTGGGAAACACCAAAATTAATCCCCGTTGCTGCCTCTGGGCTCCGGGCTCAGCGGGGGCTGCAGCCCAGCACGGTGAGGAGGGGGCAGAGCAGCAGGACCCGGGCGCACTGAGCGCATCGCCAGCTCCAAGCCTCCATCCTGCAGCCTGTGGCACAGGCTGCAGGGCAGTGCTGCTGTTTCACCCTTTTAATGGACGCACCACGGAGCCAGGCAGCATGCCCAGGCAGCCTGCAACACCTCCACCCCATTGCTGCCTCCTCGCTGAGCCCCAGGGCAGGATTCATCACGCGCTGGGCATTTCACCATCCGTGTGTCCTCCCCCGGCCCAGCGCCAGCCCCGCACGGCCTCGCACTCTGCTCGGGCTGCTGCCCAGCTCGCCCGCACCCACGGAGGTTTTTGGGCAGCAGGAGGAAGAGGAGCTCTCGGGGTTCCCTTTTGCCATGGCACCAGGAGCCTGGCTGGTGGCACCAGGGGTTTTGGTGCCAACGGAGACGACTCAGCACACGCTGCTCACGCTAACCAGGGCTGTGCAGACACAGCCTGTCCTTCCTGCCTTCCCTGCACCTCTCGTGCTCAGGGGTGGGAGTTTTGCTGCTGGGGAAAACCCGCGGCTGCTCCTCTGTGTCCCCTCCAGCTAGGGCAAAGCGCCCCCGAGGGCAACCACAGAGCACCCCAATTAACCCAGCAAACGTTTTGGATCTAAGCTATTCAACAGCATCCTGATAAACCACAAGCAAACCAAAACAGCGAACAGAATACAATTCAGCATGCGTGCACAGACCATGAAGCAACCTCCTGGTGCGTGTGAGTGCCGGGCAGGGTGTGGGGGGGGGGACGGGACGGGTGTGTGGGGACCTGAGGCTCCTGCGCCCCACTGCCGACGGAGCTCCAGCCCCAGCCCACAACTCCTGCCTGCACCCGTCCGTGCCTTCCCCAGCTTCGGGGGCTTTTTTTTTTGTAGATGGGGACAAATGATGACGAGTGAAGTGTCACATGCGCACGCAGGCACACGCACACCCGTGCACACGCACTGCTCGTGTTCCCGAGAGCAGAGGGTACGATTCCATCCTCTCCCCACCCCAGTGAAAATTTTCTTACATTTATACATTATTTAAGACACACGCTGATATATAAATTACTGTCTCTATATATACTATGTATAGGCAGCAGGGCCAGTCCATGGAGAAGGACACCAGGGGGCTTTTGCTCATTTCCCTCTGTCCTCTGTGTAGTGCTGGAAGCGAGTGAAGCTCATGAAGACTTGCTCCAGGGATATCTGGCTAACCGAATAGTCTTCTAAGCGATACTTCTCTTTGGCTTTCTCCAAGGCCCCAAAGACCTGCACGGGACAGCACAGCAGCACCAGTCACTGCCAGATCCCTCATCCTGGGGAGAGCCACAGCAGGCTGCGGCTGAAAGAGCAAAGCTTTTCCCCATGGAAACCACGGGGCAGCAAAACCTTCCCTGGCAGGAGGGTGGTGAGAAGCCAGGAGACGGATTATTTAGCAGAGCACCATTATTTAGCAGAGTACCCGAGCCCATTAAAAAAATGCACACGTTTCCTGGGCTGGGGTCCAACAGGGCTGGTGGCTCTGCAAAGCCACCGCCTGCAGCCCCGGGGAGCAGCAAGGAGCAGCAAGGCTCAAACCCCGCGGGCCCTGGAGGGTCTGTGCTGGCTCACGGGAACCCCGTGCTGTGCTCCCGGCAGGGAGATGGACAGTGATGACCAAACACAGCCCCTCCAGCGCCCTGCTGTCGCAGAGCCTTCAGGAGATACTGGGAGATGAACATAAGCAAAATCAGCGTGTGAACACGCAGGAACGCAGCCACCCCCCCGGCCACCCTCACCTCCTCCTGCAAAGGGAGGAGACGTGCCCCAGCACCCCCTTACCTGTGCCCAGCTGAGGTTCTTGTTGGTCAAGTGGTAATGCACCATGCCCTGGTGCTCGTGCTTCAGGACACTGCCTGGGAGAGACCAGGAGAGAGAGGCTGTGAGCTAAGAAACTCCTGAAGCTCACCAAAGCCCCCGGCCCCCAGTCCGGCAGCTCCCGGTACCTGGGAAAGTTTTCTCCACGAAGGCCTTGAAGGCCTGCAGCTCGCCTTCCTCGTCGCTCCGCGTTTTGGCCAGCAAGGTGTAGCCGCTGCCAAACTTGCTCTTCAGGTGCTGGGGGCTGCCCAGGCACTTGAACTGCCCGTTCACCATGATGGCCAGCCGCGTGCACAGGGCCTCGCACTCCTCCATGCTGCGGGACACGAGGGGGGGCTCGTTTAGTGGGGCAGGGGTGCCGGGACATGCCGGCTCTGCCCGCTGCTCCCCCAAAACCTCGGGCCCAAGCCCTGCCCGGAGGAGTCACCTGTGGGAGGTGAAGATGATGGATTTGCCGCACTCCCGCGTCCGTGTCACGGCGTCCCAGAGCAAACGCCGGGCCACGGGGTCCATGCCGGTGGAGGGCTCGTCCAGGAAGATGACGGGGGGGCCGCCGATCAGGGCGATGCCGGCGCTCAGCTTCCGCTTGTTGCCACCGCTGCAGGGGGAGATGGAGAGGGGCCCGACGTGAGCACGGGGAAACCACGCCAGGAAAAGTGCAGAGGACCCCTCGGAGAGGGTGTGGGGGCACGCAGGGGCGCGTTTGAGGCCCTGCTCACCTGTAGGTCCTGACGAGCTTGTCCGCGTGGGGCTCCAGGAGCAGCCCCCTCAGCATGTTCTCCACGCAGCTGCCAATGTAGCGCTCGGGGATGCCCCGCAGCCGGGCGTACATGCTGAGGGTCTCGCGGCCCGTCATGTGCTCCAGGAGGGCATCGAACTGCGGGCAGTACCCGATCCGCTGCTGGACCTTCAGGGGGGAGAGAGGAAGCCAAGGGGGTCAGCTCGGCAGCAGGTCTGCACCGCGAGGTGCCCTGGCACCCCCAGAGGGTCGCTTTGCACCTCCTGCGAGGTTATGGGCTTCAGGGTAACGGGGATGTCCTGGGCTGACGGGGGTAGGTGCACACAGGGATGGGGCTGAAACCCCTGACCCATGCTCCGGGGTGTTTCGGGTTGTGACTTATCTCTCGCCTTGCCACAGGGAGTGGGCGATTCCCAGCAAGGAGAGACCTAGCAGGGGTTTGGAAGCATCTCACCTGCTTGTTTTAGGGAGACCACCGTCTGAGCGTGGGCACTAACTCACATTTTTCATGTGCCCAGTTGCAGAGCTAACCCATTTTAAAGCTTCTGCCGCCCTCCCAAGGTTAGGCTCCCCTTTGTTTCCTATCTGTTAACCCAGCGGAGAGGGGACTGCTTCCAGGTGAACAAATTAACGGGGAGCCAGATGAGAACACCGCATCCTTGGGGCATCACATCACCCCTGACACTCGCAACCATGCCCTCCTCAGAGGCACTTAGAGATGGCCCAGCCCAGCAGGACACCAGACACCGCCCCTGCAGCCCTCGGTACCTTCTTGATGTTGGCCAGGATGCTGTGGCCATCCACGAAGGCATCCCCTGACGTGATGCTCTCATCACCTGTCAGCATCTTGAACGTGGTGGTTTTGCCCGCTCCGTTGAAGCCGAGGAGACCAAAGCATTCCCCTTTGCTGACCGCCAAGGAGATCCTGTCCACTGCCAGCAGGGACTCCCGGCTGTCGTAGACCTGGGGGAGAGCACAGCACAAGCGTGCAGGACACGGCACATGCCAGGTGCCCCATCGGCACAGCCAGGCTGGCGGGGGCTTCACCAGCCCCCAGGGAGCACGGCTCTGCTCCCAGCAGGATGCCCAGCAAGGACCACGCTCTCCTCACCTTAGTGAGCTCCTTGATGACCAGGGGGCTGCTCAGAGACGACAGCAGCTCTGGCGGTGACTCCAAAACCTTCTTCCTCTCGTCTGCTACGTCACGGTCCTCAGGAAGCACGGACACCCTGTTCAGCAGTGCCACCTGAATGCAGGGACAAAAAGCACCGTCACCTTGCTGCTGGGGGACAAGGGGCTTCCTCTGGGCTGCCCTGGCAGGAGCCACCCCCTCCATCAGCCACCTCCGGGGCATCCCACTCCAACCCACACACCCCACAGGACCTGCCCCTCGGAGCAACCCGCCCCACGGCTGCTCCCCAGGGAAGATGATTGAGGTAAAAAGGCCAAGAGCCCGTGGGGTTTGGGAGCTGCAGCTCCTGAAGCATCTCAGCCAAGTGACACTTCATGCAGAGTGCCAAATGGAGGCAGAAGCAGAATTTGGAGCCCTAACCACCACGAGTGACCCCACGAACCCCCAGCATTTGGGTTGGATCTGAGCAAGGGACACAGGCCTGTCTCCAGCCCGCGGGGACTCCTGCTTTGTCCCAAGGGCACCTTGCTTCTCCCCCCCACGTGCTTCTAGCTCACCCATTTCCGCCGCCTGCAGATGCCACAGACCAAAGTTCTCAGCCTCCAGAGAAGGTTGGTCTCAATGAGGAAGAGGAGGAAGAGGAAGGAGAAGCCCTGGATGGTCAAGGAGGTCAAGTACCGCCCGATCCCAGGCGACTCCCAGGAGAAGTAGTTCATTTGATAGCTGATATCTGAGCAGGGTTGGAACAAAACCAAACTTGGATCAATCCCCACTCTGGGGAAGGGCAGATAAGCTTCAGAGAAAGCTGTGAGCTTTGCCAGCCCCATCCCCACCCCCACCGGGCTCCCTGCCCACAGCTCTTTCCAGCACTTCCCACAAGAGGATTCAGGTCCTGGAGGGCGTCTGGCACCAAGGTGCTGGGCACAGACACAGAAGAGACCCAGTCACTCGTTCAGGACCGTGCCTGGCTTTTCCTGACTAGTCCATGAAACTTTCCCCAGTCCACATTTTCCTCCAAATCACAGAATCAAAGAATACCCTGAGTTGGAAGGGATCCACAAGGATCATCGAGTCCAGCTCCTGGCTTCTCATTAGTAAGAAAAAAAGGTTCATTATCTAGATCGCTCCGTTAGTGTCCAATGCTGCCCCATTTTTGCTTTAAATTGACACCTGGAGCTACTGCCCAGGTTGGGTTCGAGGCCTGGTGACACTGGAGCCACCTCCCCAGGCGAGCATCTCCTTCCCGAGCCCTGTCCGGGAGCACCCTGGGGACAGGCACCCCCACAGCAGGGACCCAGATGCTGTTGTGGATTTTTTAGCCCAATCCCCACCACAAACCCCACTCCATCACCTCCAGCTGCCACAGGGCACATGCAGAGCAGAGCTCACCTCCAACTCCAGCTGGATTTCCTCCAGAACAGAACCAGAGCTGCCCACAGCCCTGCTGGACCCACACCAGCCTTCCCAGCACCCCCAGCCCCACAGAGAACCCCAAAAGGGGCCGGCCAGGACCAAGGCAGAGACTCACTGAATGCCTTGCAGATGAAGATGGCTTCAACGGAGGAGGTGCAGAACTGAATGAACTCGTAGTTCTGGTAGAAGTCACTGATGCACTGGCCCAAGCAGTAATTGGGTAAGGCCAGGAAGACTTTATCCAGGGTTCTGGAGAGGTCCACCAAGCCCAGCTCTGAAAGAGGACCAGAGAAGGATCAACAGGCTGGATTTAGCTGCTTTTAGAGAAAGACCCTGACGCATCTCAGAAGGAGAAACAACACATTTTGTTCTGCTTAACGGGTGAGAAGGGGCTGTCTGGGGGGGTTTCTGCTATGTGGCCCTAGAGCCTAATGTGAAGGAGTCCCCCCCCTTAGGGGCTGTGTCTTCTCAGTGACTGGGTGTGCAGAGAGGGCAGCCACCCACCTGGGATGCTCATGATGGTGACAGCGAGGAAGGTGGCTGTGCCCGAGAGGATGTTGAAGATGGTGAGGCGGGTGTAGGCAGTGGCTGCCACCGAGAAGAAGAAGCTGAGGAGGTACATAAGGGGGATGATGGCCCAGCCATAAAGGAGGAAGATCAGCATCACATCGACGAGGTGGCTGTCTTGCGTGAAGGCTTGCACGTCAAAGGCTTGGAATATCACCTGGGGCACAGCAAGGTGAGGAGAGCACACGGTTGTCTTGACTGCAAGCGATGCCATCCTGCCTCCGTGGCCCAGGCTGCACCGCCCTGACCAGGGAACTGCTCCCACACAGCTCCTGCTGGCGGCACCAGCAGCCCATGCCCGTCCCCAAGGAAAGCCCTCTTTCTGCAGATTTTGATGCCTAAAGGTGAATCCAGGGAACTTCTCTCCATGCTCCCACCCGTCAGATTTTCTAGTGCCAGTGCCCACACCCGCTGCACCCAACCGACCTGGATCAGGGGAGCTGGGCTCTACCAACACACATCCCAGATCTCCCAGAGGATCCACAAGAAGCATCCGGAGCTCATCTGGGAGATCCCTGCAACTTTCCACGAACTGTGGGGGTTTCACTGAGACAGGAGGGTGCTGGGCTGCCAGCAGCGACCTACCAGCATCAGAGCGCAGGGAATGAGGAAGTTGATGATGTCCCAGAGCAGGGCGGACAGCCAGAAGTTGACCACGTAGACGCCGCTGACGAACTGGACGTGCTTGGCCTTGATGGCCCGCTCACTGACCAGCAGGAGGGCGAAGGTGCTGGCGAGCGAGGCCATGCCGTACAGCAGGTTGATCGCAATGGCAAACCCGGTCTGGCCCCTGCGGGAGAGCAGCGGGGCTGGTTAGGACAGGAACAGCCTGACAGACCGACACGGAGGCCGCATGGGGCCAACACGCCTTCACCGTGCTTCCCGCGGAGTCTACGCTAGTGAATGCCCCAAAAAAAAGCATGTCTCTGTGGGACGAGGGCACAAACAGCCCTCCTGGCACACCACAAACCTCCACCCACCCTGCCAGACACCCTAACAGGAAAGGAAGCACCACGCGATCGGACGTACTCCATGAGCTGGTCTTTGGCCTTCTCGGTGATGTTGCGGGGCTGCGGGTAGTTGGTGACCGTGATGGAGGCGTTGGGGCCTGCCAGCACCCTGAAGACTGCGTTGTCGGCCAGCATTAGGGCCGTGGCGGGGGAGTGGTAGGCCTGGTTGTTGAAGAGCGCGGTGACCATCGTGCGGTTCCCAGCTCCTTCGAAGGAGGCGGCAGCGATGTAGTGCTCGTTGAAGGCTCCCCCCTCCTCGGATGCTCTCGAGATGAGGTACTCCTCCAGGCCACCTGCCGAACACCGCTGCTGTTACAGGCGGACTCCAGGCAACGAGAGCTGACCAGGACCACCTGGAGAAACCCCCTGGTGGCCCACTTGGCTCCAAAAACACAGCTCTGCCCGGGTGAGGAGGGGAAGGAGCCCGCCATGGGACCCTCCTGTGCAGGACAGGATGCAACAGGGTGCATCAGGTGGGACCCCAGCTGCAGGAGAGAAGCCTGCAGCCCCCAAAACACATCACTGGGCATTGCCCGGGTGCCCTGCCAAGCCTCACCCAGCACCTCCAGCGGCGCCTGGCGCTGGGCATCCAGCAGCTCCACGTACTGCTCTGCCAGCTTCTGCGACAGAGCCGAGGTGGCCGGGACGGAGAAAGGCACAATGGTCTGGCCGTAGGGCTCCAGCGTCAGCCTCAGCAGGGAGGAGTCCCTGGGTCCCGGGAAGGTTTTGGCCACGATGAGGGCAAAGGCGGTGAAGATCAGAGGCACGAGGAACTGCGCTGCCACCATCTTCCAGTTGCGCCAGCTGTACATGGCTCGCTTCATGAACATGGCGTAGAACTGCTGGCAGCACAGGTAGAACTGGCAGGGGAGAAGGCAGGTCAGCGCCGGGCCCAGCACCACCCCGCACGGCTGGGGAGGGAACGAGCCCAGAAACCCCTCCCTGTCCCCCTCCAGCCCCCAGGCTGTGCCACCAGCTGCTTCCAGCAAAGGGGTAGGCAGGGCAGCTGCTTGACTTCGGTGCAGCTGGTCAGCCGTTCAGAATCCACTTTGGGATCTAAGGGCTCAGAAAAGCAGCTTCAGGCACGGCCTTCACCTCAGCCCAACCCTCAGCACGGGAGGTTCTCAAATAGGATTGCTGCGGCACGGCTGCCTGCCAAGGCAGCTGAGAGGCCTGGAGCTCCCAAGCCCAGCGCATGTGAGCGCCTTCTTTACTTTTTAAACCATAAACATCTTTCTCCCTCTAGTGTGTGACGTGCCCTTGAGAAGGACAGGGCAACTTATCACAGGCATGTAGGCAGCAGGCCATGAAGGACTGCGGCAGATCTGGAACACCCAGCGAGGGAAAGGAACCCTTCTCATCTCCCTGCTGGAAACGCCAAGGGCTGTAGCAAAAGCAGATGAGAAACACTTGGGATCACCCAGACATCTTCACAAGGTGGCACCTCTACAGAGCACGGGATTAACGTGCAGGTTGGCAGTGACCAACCCCAAGCAACCCTTAAAATAATTTGTGCTTAAGTTTCGGATTCCACTTCTCCACCTGCAGCTTTCAACTCACACAAGGTGAGACGGGGCCGTGTGGGGTGCTCTGTCCGGTAACCCCACTGCCGAGGTCCTGTCCCTGGGGCCCTGACACCCAGCACTCACCCCGGTGTTGAGCTTGATGCTGGAGCAGTCCTCGGTGATGAGCGCTCCGCTGTCGTCCGTCATGTCTGTCATCCCGCTCAGGCTGCTGGAGTCATCCATGGCCCAGTCGTTGGAACGCCTCTCGTGCTGGTACTGCAGAGCAGGCAGCTGGATGGCCTGGATGTCCATGCTGGAGTCCACCAGCTTCCCAACTCTGCACCAGGAGGGACAGGGGAGGATGAGAGATGAACCCAGACGGGATCAAGCTGGAGAAGCCAAACCCAGGAGACAAAACCCACATGTGCTGTGGAGAGCCCAACACAACCTGCGTTGGATCGAGCCTTCCAACCTTCCTTCTCTCCCCAGAGCAGGTGTTTTTCCCCCAGTCTGGACATTCAGACACAGAACTTTGGGAAGGACCCGTGGGAGAAAGGTGCTGCCTGTATGAAGCTTCTTCCACAGTTGCAACTGTTTTTTTTTTTTTCTGTTTATTTGTTTGTTTTTTCTAATCCATTAAAAATCAAATGTTTGTTTTTGCAGGGAGAAGGTAAGAACATGACTTAGTGGGACTTCACACCGACACTTGGACTTGCTGTTTCCAGCCCAGAGAGCTGGGGGGCTGTGCTGGACACCACTGCTGCTGATGCCCATGGGGGCTGTGCCACAAGACGGCTGTTGGGACTGTCCCAGTGCTGCTCACAGAGCCCAGGCCACCCCTGCCCACACGCTGCATGGTCCCAATCCCATTACCCTCTGGAAAACTCTTGCAGGACATGACTAAGGCACATGGATTGCGCAGCCAGCCCCAAAGGGTCCCTGACCACCACTCTCGGGGGGACTCAGCTCATGATGAAGGACCCAGCTCGTGCCCCCACACATTGCTCTTCCCACCAGCTGGACCACAACCCAGCTCCCTGTCCCCCTACCTCAGGAAGACTTCCTCCATGGTGGTGACCGAAGCACCGTAGCTTGCGATGCCCAGCTCCTCCCGCTTCTGCTCCAGCTCCGTGAACAGGGCCTCAAACCTGGAAGGACGAGCGAGGTGTCAGGCTCTGCTGCTCATCCCTTCTGCTGCAGCCAAAAGCCAGCTCCAGCGGGCAGATCCCCCTGCTTGGGGGCACCAGGAGGTGGTTTCATGGACGGCAGACAAAGCCGTGCACTGCAGCACCCATCCAGGGGCACACCCTGGGGCTTGGATTTCAGCACAGCCACAGGTGAGAAGAGGATGAGAGATCTCAAAGTGATGGTTTGAGTCCTGTAGCCAGGGATGTTTGCAGCACTGGGCGTCCCTCTATCCTCAGGAACAGCTTTTGGGCTCTGTTTTGTGCTGTTCTCCCTTGTCACAGGCAGCCTCAGCCACCCTTGTGCCATTGCCCCATCCAGAGAAACCAACGCCCCCAGCCTCCCACCCCCTGCCCAGGCAGTTTCTGCATGACAGGCATGGTGGCACGAGAGTGACGTGCCGGAGGACTGCCGTGAGAAAAGGAACCCAACTCGACTCCTCAGGACCAGCACTGCAGCCACGGGCTCACGCACACCCGCAGCTTCCCAGGAGATGCAGAGAGCAGAGATCCCCCAGTGCATGGGGACAGGGGACCCGCTCGGGGAGGGAGAGCAGGAGGTGACACCATTACCTGTGGGTGCTCTCTTTGGGTAGGATGAAGGACAGCTCTGCCCCGGCGTTGCTCTCCATGGTGGCGTTGGGCACGTACTGACAGATAAGGCGTGAGATCTCCCCCAGGTTGCAGTAAGGCTCTTTCACCATCACCATGTGGTATCCTGCCCCTGGGAAGAGAGGAAAAAGAGGGTAAGACCTGGCCCTTCAGTGCTGGAGCACAGAGAGGGGCTGCCAAGGCACCGCAGGGCCTTGCTGGCTTTGTGTGGGCTGCAGACAATGCAAAAGCCAGCGAGAAGGGCTGAAGGCAAGCCAAGGAGCAAAGCTTTCACAGCACCAGCCACCTCTGAGCGACTAGCGGTGAGAAACAAGCAGGGTATGGGCCTCAGGAAAGGCGTAACAGCATGACGGGGAGGCAGGGAGAGGACAAACACTGGCACAGCCCGCCTGCTCCTTCCTTACCATATTTACGTTTGAGGAAGAGCGAGGAGCCGCAGCACTGCAGCTCGCCCTTGGCCATGATAGCGATGCGGTCCCCCAGCAGGTCGGCCTCGTCCATGAAGTGGGTGGTGAGCAGGATGGTGCGGTTGCTCCTCTGCTGCTGGAGGAGGTCCCAGGTGGCTCGGCGAGAGGCTGGGTCCATCCCCGACGTTGGCTCATCCAGCATCACCACCTGGGCATGGGAGATGGGCGCGGGTCAAAATGGGTCTGGGAGAGGCACGGTGGTGCTGGAAGGGGTAAACCTGGCACCCATGAGCCTTGAGCCCCCAAAGTTTGTCTGGGGGAGTTCCCAGGCAGCAGAGCTGCACTGCAACCTCAGGACATCAGTCTCAGAGCTGCTTCCCTTGGTGGCAGTGCTTCCACCTCCTTCTCACTGCCCCTGCAGCTCCACTAGCACACAACGGGTGAGGGACAACCTCAGAGCTGCAAAAAAAGCCCATGTTACCCCGGGGAGAAAGGCTCAAAGTGAGCCCCACCGCGGATGCTTGCCTTGGAGTCCCCGATGAGGGCGATGCCGATGGAGAGCTTTCTCTTCATGCCTCCGGAGAGCGCCTTGGTCAGCGAGTGGCGTTTGTCCTCCAGGTTCAGGATCCGCAGGACGTGGTTGATCTCCTCGGGGCACTTGGAGGCTGGGAACCCCTTCAGCTGCTCGACAAAAAGAAAGAGGGCTTGGTACACCCGCAGGGGGCAAGCATCCCTGACAAAACCCTTCCCACCTCACCAGCAACCGGCTGCTAAGCCCCACCACGGCCCCTGCTCCACACCCAGGGGCTTGCCTGCCTGCTGACAGCCCCACGAGCAGCATGGGGTGCTGCACCACGAGGTTGCCCCAGGCTGCCCCAGCCCCAGGCTCACCCCAGCGTAGAAGTGGAGGTGCTCCTCCACCGTCATGTTGTCGAAGAGCACGTCGTGCTGGGGACACAGCCCCAGGCTGCGGCGGATCAGCACCATGTCCTGCGAGATCTCGTAGCCGTTGATGTACGCCTGCCCGCTCGTCGGGGAGTACAGACCTGCGAGGAGCAGCAGCAGAACCGTGCTGAGCCTGCACGGCTGAGCTGGAGGAAGGCTGGAGAGGCTGAGCAGGGCCTTGCCGTGGCTGTGAGACCCCCAGGTGCTGCCTGGCCGGCACCCGCTGAGGCTGGAGCACGGAGCTCTTCCCTCCCACCCACAAGGGAGGCCGAGAGGCTTCCACAGGCAAAGTTGGTGCTGCTGTGTGTGCAGAAAGCCCACAGCAACCCATCCTACAGCCAGTCCTTTCTCCTGGCAGGGCTGGCTGCGATCTGCTCCAGGCCCGTCCCCCCGGAGGACACCCTCAGGCCGATGCCCCAGGCTCCCTCCATCTCCCCCAGGCACTGATGTGCCTCCCAACACCCTGCCGTCCCCAGCTAACAGCTCAGCAAACCCAAGGTGCTCTGAGGAAGGGCAAAACCCTCTCCAGGCTCAGAGAGGAAGCACAGAGAGGACCCCACCCAGCCCTGCCCAGCAAGCCCGCAGGCTGGACACAGCCCCTACCTGTGAGCATGGACAGAGTGGTGGTCTTCCCAGCCCCGTTGTGTCCCAACAGAACGGTGATCTGCCCTTCGTACATGTTCACTGTTAAGTCCTTGACTGCCTCCTTCACCTTGTTTCCCACTCTGAAGACCTGCAGGGATCACGTTACTGAGCTGATGCTGCACTCAGGGCGGGTGCTGTCAGGCCTGCGCCCTCCAGACAGCCCAAGCCTGTGACGTTCACGTGGGGTTGAAGACCCCTGGGTGAAGAGGGCAGTAAGTGACGGGGAACCTCCCCAGAGGTGGGAGCTTTCAGAAAACCAAGCACCAGGTGCAACAGGCACTGCTGCTGCATGGGCAAGCACAGCTCAGCCCGGTGGGACCAGGACGGAGAGCCCTGCAGGCCTGCTGTGCTGGAGGAACGGGGCTGCTCTGCCCGGACCACCATGCAGGCCATGCCTACTGCCCTTCCAGAGCAGGGATCAAGGCACCCCATGAGCTCAGGGTGCTGTGAGATTGTTTGACAAATTGTTGAGGAAAGGCCTGAGCTGTGCTCCCATTGACGGCCACACCTGGCTGCTCCTTGCAGGAGCTGCACGAGGACTGCTCGAACGCTGAGACAGCACGGGGGAAGGGAGAGCACGGGACCAGAATTTGTGCTGGGCAGGCAGTACCTTGGAAAGGTGCTTTATTTTGATTCCTGACACAAGGTCAGAAGGCTCCTCCTCGATGTACTGGCTCTTCAGGGCTTTCTCAGGGTCCTCCTCCTCCTCCTTCTCTTTTCCTATGACCGTCCTGGGGCGCCCGCACCAGTACGAGGGCTGACAGGAGAAGGCAGAGAGACACTCATCAGCCCCCAAAACCCTGTGTGCTCTAAATGGAAAAGGCCTGGGATCCACTTGCTGCAGTTACACCCTTTTTGACCTGCTTCTCTACGAATGAAGTGTCCAGGACCTTAAAACCCTGTGCAAACAGCAAGTCAGCAACTCCCGGACCTAGGGCATCTGAGTGCCAGCACACCAAGGTGCCCAGCACAGGGCTGCCCTGGGGTACTACTGCCTTCTGCCCCAAATCACCATCCCAACACCCGCATCTCCGCTCCACCAAGAGCTCTGCGTGGGTCTAGCTTCAAGAGGAAGTCGGATGCTCGAGTGCAATTATGCTGGGATAAGGGGGTTTAGAGGGGAGGAGGAAAAGCCTCCCAACATTCACGCGATCAGAAGCGATGTCTCAGTGCAGCTTAGGCAATTCTCAGCAAGCAGCTGAGCTGCAGTGACCACCACGGGGACAGGCTGGGGTGACATCAGACCTGGCAGTGAGTGCAGCACAGCCGACGGGTGACAACTGGCTGGCCCTGCAGCTGCAGCCTCCCCAGGCCAGCGGTGACAGCACGGGACAGACCCCGCTGCACCTTGCTGCTCAGGGCGGTCTCAAGCGACTGTGTCTGCTGGCCCTCACCTGGGTCTTCTCTCTGATGCCTTTGCTTGGGGCATGGAGACACGGTCAGCAACACCGTGCGTGCCAAGAAGTGTTGGGACAAAGATTGAAAGACAAGAACTATGTCTTGCAGGTCATGGAAAAAAATCTGGCTGCATCACCCTTGACCACAGATGGAAGCTGGTGGTGCCACCATTTCGCTTTAGCCCGACCTGCTGCACGGCCCCAAACCAGAAAACATCGCTGAGTAATGCCCGTAAGTCCTGCTGGAAAGGGTGGAAAGGGTGTGCAGGCAGTGCTCACCGTCAGGAAGAAGTACCAGGGCTGCGGCACGCCGTACTCCCCCGGGAAGACAGCCTCCACGTACCAGGCCACCAGGCCATAGAGCACCGAGTCCAGGAGCAGCATCCCCAGGACTTGTGCCAAGGTGAAGTTGTCGTCCACGCTGATGGGCTTCATGAGGTCCCTCCACTGAATGCCAGTCCCTGCAGTGACACAGGGCACTGCTCACCCCTGCCCAGGGCGCTCGCTCACCCCCCGAAGGATGGAGGGGAGCAGCAAGTGTTCCCAGGGCTGCAAGATAGCACCCCCGCCCCTAATTCCGTGCTCTATAACGAGAAGCACATGCACAGCCCAACAACCTCCATTTCAAATACAGAAAGATGTAGCAGAAGCATACTAAATCTGGAGGCTCCCACCCTGTCCCCTGCACACATCACCAAACTTCTATCACATTCTCCATAACTGCCCTGGGAAGAAACCATCTCCTCTCTGGCCACTGCAGCCTCCTTTTAGTCCCACCACTTTGCAAAAATGCCGCCTCTGCTGGAACCAACAGCGAATTCTTACTAATGTAGAATTTAAAAAAAAAAAAATGGAAAGGAGGAAACACAGTAAGTTCCCATCCCTTGGAACAGAATTAACTTTGCCACCAAAGTGGCACGTGACAGCATTGTGCAAAGCACAGACTCCATTTGGTGACTGCCAGATGCATGGGTTTGGAGAAGGCAGAACCTTGGTTCTGACAAGAGCTGTGGAGCACCCTGAAATTACCCATCCTGCTCACATCCAGCCGCCCCCTGATTTCTTTCTGCCCCTCAGACCACCTGCCAGCCCGTCCCGACCCACCGCAGGAAGCTCTGACGCACCGAAGGACGCGCTCACCTTTTCCTTCAAACATGCCGATGAGCTGTGCCCCCATGGCCATGGCCACGTTGGAGATAAGGCAGGACGCCAGCTTCTGGCTGTGGGACATGAGGTCGTAGCGAGGCGAGATGAAGAAGTAGGGGATGTAGGAGAAGAAGTACAGGAAGCCACCGGCAGCAGCCGCAACATTTGCTGCGAGCACAGAGAAAAGAGGGAGGGAAAACATCAACCAACTTCCCACCAGCTTTCCATCCAGAGATGGAGACCTTTTGTACAAGGGGGGCAGGACGATGAGTTGCCCAACCCAGTGCACTCCGGGGCTGCAGCAGCTGGACAAGGCCCTAACACGTGAGCCCATCTGGTTTTGGAAGTGCCAGGGTACACTTCCAACGCACGATGTGGAAAACGCAGCCAAAAAAGGGAGGAAAGGACCCCCCTCCACATGTCAAAACAAGTTATTCTACACGCAGCCCCGTGCAACCTCATGTAACTCTGGAGCTGGCCCTGCTTTGCACGCACTGATGACCTCCAGAACCCCCTCCCAACCAAACTTAATCAGAGGTCTTACAGCACAACCCCCCTGGGCATTGCGTGCCGACCCACCCAGCCCTGCGAGGAGGCGGGCGGGGAGGAACTCACCTCTCGAGAAGAAGGTGCTCACCATGAAGTTGAAGGAGATGGAGGAGATGGAGAAGATGGCGAGGAAGGTGAACACCAGCGTGGGGTCGCTGTTGGTAAGCACTGCTCCTTGTTCGCTCACCTGCCAAAAAAACGGGGTCAGGCGTGGGGCTGGCACTGCGAGCCTGGTGTCCTCCGTGGGGTAAAGGCAAAAAAAGGCAGGTGGAGACACCCAGACCCTCCCAGAGCAGTCCAGAGGAAGGAAACGGGGCTGTCCTCATGTGATGCAGGGTCTACGAGGCAGGGGATGCCTGGCTCTGCATCCAGACAGCCACCTCCTGCTTCTTGCGGTGCAGATGTGAGGAGAGGAGAGCTCGAGGAGCCGAGGACGCAACCCTGAGCGGTGGGATGGCCCTGCCTGGACAGTGCCTGCACCCGCAGAGCTCCCACCCAGCCTCCTGGGCAGCTCACTGCTGCTGTGAGAGGCAGCTACGGGGCTGTGGATGCAACATCCCAAAGCTGGGAGCAACTGAAACAGACGTGCATTCACCCACAGAGCTCCAGCTCTGCCCACGCAGCTCAGGAGAAGGCCAACTCCAGCCTCTGTGACACACGGGGACGAGTCCCAGGTCACCGGGACAGCCCAGCCCGCGGCACAGGAGCCCCATCACCCTCGTGCCCCGGCACCGCAGAGCTTCTGGCCCGAGGGCAGCCACTCACCTTGACACAGAAGAGCACGGTGACGAAGAACACGGACACCAGGAGGAAGAGGAAGAACATGAGGAACCAGGCGCTCCAGTGCAACCAGTTGCTGAGCCCCATCATGTGCATGTACTCCTGCAGGGAGGTCACGCCGTCACCCGGGGCTGCTGCCACGCTTCCCGGGCAGGGGAACGTGGCCACGGCAAGGGGAGGTGGAGAGGTGGCGACCGCTCTGCCCCCCCAGCACTGTCGAGGGAGGTGGCAGCCCCGGGTGCCCCACAGGAGCTGTTGGCCGAGCTCCCCCCTGCCCACGCACCACAGCAGGGAAACACGGGGTTCCAAATTGGAAAGACAAAAGTCCCGTTTCCCACACGCTGATCTCCTGCACCCACGAGAGCTGCCTCTCTGTGGGCTGCCCCCTCCGAGCACCCTCACACCACGGGAAGCAGAGCGCAGAGCCACGTCCCAGCAGCAGGATTAGCGACATTCCTCGCACTGCCTTGCTAATCCCTGACTCCTGTGTGCTGGCTCCAAAGCCAGCAGGGATTTAACCTGGAGTGCTGTGTCCAGTTCTGGGCTCCCCGCTACAAAAAGGACAGGGATCTCCTGGAAAGAGTCCAGAGGAGGGACACAAAGACGATACGGGGCCTGGAGCATCTTCCCTATGAGGAGAGGCTGAGAGACCTGGGGCTGGTCAGCCTGGAGAAGAGAAGACTGAGAGGGGATCTCAGCAAGGTGTATAAATCCCATAAGTGTGGGAGACGGAGGGGTTTGGCCAACCTCTTTTCAGTGGTTTGTGGGGACAGGACAAGGGGTAATGGCCACAAGATAGAGCACAGGAAGTTCTGCACCGACACGCGGAAGAACTTCTTCACGGTGAGGGTGACGGAGCACTGGGACAGGCTGCCCAGGGAGGCTGTGGGGTCTCCTTCTCTGGAGATATCCAAGGCCTGTCTGGATGCCTACAGACCCTCGCATTACCTTCAGCTTCTTCTCCTTCTCGTGCACGACGGCGCGGACGATGTTGAGCGAGGTGTAGGTGAAGCTGAGCATGAGTAGCAGGGGCAGCTGGTTCTGGATGGCGAGGACAAAGAGGTCGTTGACGTAGGGCGGGTAGGGGAAGCGCTGCACCACCACCGTGATGTTCTCCAGCAGGCTGGCGGCGCTGGCGTTGGCATGGTACTGCATGATGGCCCTGTCCACCGCATGCTGCACCGCCAGGAAACCTTCTCGGATATAACCTGCACGGCAACAACACCATAAAGCAGGGATGGGCGCGTGCTCTCCAGGAAGCAGAGAAGAGCACGGCGCCTTTGGAGGCGAAGCAGCCTTTACAGAAGGAGGGATTTCTTGGGAAGAGCAGGAAACATAAAAAGAGCTCAAAACAGAAGGAAAAGTTGCTATGAAAGCACTCTCTATCATTCCAGCAGATGCTGGGAAAGATTTAAATCAGAGGAATTTAAATCTTTAGCAATCATCATTTAAAAGAGCTAGCAGAGATCCTCAAAATAAACTGCAATCCTCTAAGATTCTCGGTCATTGTTAACCATCAACAATGCCACTGAGCAGAGCTTATTTGTGGTGTTTGTTTTGTTTTTTTGGTAAAGCAAGAACATGGGAAACTATTGTATGTTTTGGTGAGGAAGAACATATCCCATTACGGACACATTTGGTTTAAAAATTTTGTGCGTTAGAAAATAGTGAAAGATTTATTTTTGTTTTTTAACTGTTCTATTGTTCCTTGGGATTTCTGCCATGTTACTGAAGTTGAGACTCGGATTCTGTTCAGAACGCCCCAAGAGAGCATTTTGGAAGTTGGCTGCTTAAAACATGCTAGACAGGTAAGGAAAAGGTGAGAATATGAGATTACTCGGTGTTATATATTAACTAAGTTGCTAAACAAACACTGTAGTGAGAGAACTGATCCCAGCTTCTGGTCACCCCGTCCTGCAGGATATTTGAACTAGCAGGTATTGTTCTCTTGTGTTTGGTTTTATTTACACTCTGTGAGCAAGAACAGGCTGCCTGCCTTCTCAGGCCTTCAGTCTTTTGCTTGATGTTGCCGTGAAATCAGGAGGAAGAAGACACCAGGCTGGGGGAAATATCCCTTTCACAGCCAGAAAGGAAGCTCCCGAAATCAAGAGCGGGGCTGGTCTGAAACTGGTGCCAGTTCCAGCAACGTGGCCGCTGACTCCTGCTCAGGCTGTGGTCTGGCTTTCATTAAAAACCCGCGCTCAAACCACAGAATTGCTCTATTTTAAGCATTTAAACAGCACGATAAATCCTAGATAGTTTGGACCCTGAAATATGTTTTCCTGTAACCCATTTAAAAATAGAAAAGAAGAAGATCCACACGCCCATCTCCTCGCCTGGCGGAGCAGTGTAGGCCTCACCTGGCGTTCCCCCATCCGCAAACTTGGCCTCCCGGGGGCCGGGCAGCTGGAAGAGTGGGAAGAGGTAGCTGGTGTGCCAGTCACGGTCCAGGTTGGGGTTCAGGCCCGTCTGCTCGCTCCGCGGGGCGTTCCTGGGGCTGTACTTGAAGCGCAGCTCATAGTCCACCTGCGGGGAGGACGACCACGTCGCGCACCAACCACAAAGGGGTAATTTTGGGACCTGTCCCAGGAGCAGCAAGGTGCTGGGGGCTGCATCCAGCCCCGCTGTCCCTGGGGTCCCGCAGCACTCACCTGGAGGGGCAGCGGGGCCGTGCTGTGGTTGAAGCGGTGCTTGAAGACGACAGCAGCCAGCACGCTGCCCGAGCGGTTGTCCACCCTGACGTACTCCTCAAACTCCCTCTCCGAGGCGAAGCCCTGAGCTGCAGGGAGGAAAGCCGGGCCGTGAGCTGCCGGTACTCGCAGAGCAGAAATTAGATATCCTTGCACAGAAAAACCTAACGTTATTTTCAGTTTCACACACGAAGTGCTAAGATTTTCTGTGCAAGGAGATTTCCAAAATGCTCAGCTTTAGGGAAGCGACAGCCAGTTTTCTTCAACTATTTTAAGCCAGTATTTTTCTAGATAGAAACTGCAACAAGATGTGACAAAAATCAGAACTAAACCCTGCAGCTTTACACAGGAAAACCGTTGCCTTGACGTTCTGACAAAAACCAAGGCATCCTTGGAACTGAGCGTGGGTATTTAACCGAATAGAAGTTTGTCCGAGAATTTCTGGTCCCAGGGTGGAAGGCAGACTGACGATGCCTAAATTCATCCAGCTGGATGCCCTTTTTTCCAACCTCATTTGCTTTACCCGTTCCCTGTAAGACCAGGCTGCTGAGCAGAGGGCTGTTCTGGGAGACCTCCTCACCCCGGCTGTCAGAGCACAGGCGCTGCCCCAGCACCCACGAAGCTGAGCACATCGTGCCCCGTCCACGCCACCGCGGCGGTGCAGGACGGAGCCGCGACCACGCACGAGCTGTGGCCTGGCCCCGCTCACCTCGGATGCTGATGGGTAAAGCTCTCTCCACCGCCTCAGCGATGCTCCTGACGGCGCTGCTGTTGGAGGGGACGTAGGCCAGCTCCCAGGGGTTGCTCGGGTGCCGGCGGTAGAAGAAGCCCGGCAGCTCATCCACGGACTCGGCGGGGTAGATGGTGGCGTTGGGGTGGCTGATGGAGTGCACCCGATGCCGAAGCGCGATCAGGATGGCAGCAAACAGCAGCGGGAGGCAGATTTCGATGACCGTTACCAAAATCTGCCGTTTCTGCGGAGAGGCCAAGGGGAGGGGAGAACAAAAACCAGACCGAGATGTTAACACTGGAAGCAGAGTAAGTGCTGCAACGACGATCGGGGCGCGCGAACGCCGGGTGCCCAAAGCGCTCCTCGCTTCGCCGCGCTGGTTTCGCAGCCGGGGCTTTCCTGCAGCTGGCCACAACAAAGGAAGCAGCCAAGTTAACCACGAGGCCAGGCGGGCTCTGACGGCCGCACAGGAGGTTCCCACACCTCCCAGGACTTCCCAGCCACGGCGGTTCCTGTCCCCTTCCCCAACCTCCGTCCGGCTTTGAGCCGCGTGCCTTTAGAGTCAGCCTGAGCTCAGCGCGCGTCCCAGGCAGCCCGAGCACCACCCTCCAGCCCCTCAGTTCTCCCCCGGGGCTGCCTCGCAAGACTTCAAAACCTAACTGCCAGCACGTGCTCAGCCCGGGCATTAATTAGCATTTTAAATGGGGCTCCTCCATTTCTGCTGGCAGGCGCCCAGCCTCTTGCAGGATGCTTTGCGGCGCGGGGGCAAGGAGCGCCTCCTCCTGCAGCCCGAGCTGCCCACAGGCAGGGCAAACCCATCTCGCCTGACCTCAATCGCTGCAGCCACGGCTCCTGAGATTTCTCTGCACGCACCCCAAGCCTAGCAAGCCCCGGTGAGATCCGCGGCACCGTGGGGCGTTTTGGGTGCAGCCCTGCCTGCAGCAGCTCCTTCAGACCCACAACCATCAGCCCCTGAGCGGCGCTGCCCAGCGAGTTATAACCTCCCAGGCTCTCTGCAGACTGGAGGAAGGATTTATTTTTCAGACGGGAGGGGAAAAAGGAGCAAGCTGGGCAGCCTCTCAGCACAAGGAGCACGGAGTCAGCCCTGGCATCGCAGGAGGGATGCCGAGGCTCTGGGCTGGCAGGGAAAAGGAGCGTTCCAAAGGCGACGCTCGTAGAAGCGAGTGTTGCAGTTGTCTGATGGTTTTATAACGCAGCTCTCGCAGACCAGCAGCCTCCTGCAGATTTACTACCATATTAACCCTCTAACAGTCCCTTGGACTTTCTCCAGAAGGGCTGCCTGGCTCCGTGAACTTGGCGGCTGATGCGCATTTACCAGCACGAGCTTTTGCTACCGCGAAAGTCGTCCACGCTGCCGTGTTTCAGAGGCACCAGGGACACCCATCCACAGCCACCACCACGAACGGCTGCTGCTGCCAGCCCGGGGCAAGCTGCGTGCCCCCACCCTGGCACCCAGCTCCACGTGGAGGTGTGTTCCCCTCCCTGTGCCAGGAGGGGATGCTCCTGGTGGGACGCTGCAAGCTGGCCCCGCTCCTGGCGCCGAGGCAGCAGCCCAGCTCACCCTCCCCTCTGCCCCCTTTTACTTTTATACAAGTGCTGATGTGCAAAATGGGGACCGAAGCTGCCCAGCCTGCTGCTCCCACCTCCCGTGCTGCCCAGGCCTGGTGAGAGGCACAGCCACGCTGCTCCAGGTGGTTTAAGGCAGCCCATGCACCCCTAAAAGCTGCTTCTGAGGACAGCGGAGAGTAATGGGGTAAAACCATCTGGGTCGTGGTTTACAGGCACCGCTCAGGACCTGCCAAATCCTTCAAGGATTTGTGTAAGGAGATAGCTCAGAAAAGCCACGCCGCACAGGAGGGCACGGGGGGTTATCGTGCCCACGAGCAAGGAAGCTGAACTCTGCCTGATTTCAGAAGCGAGGGTAATGGGGAAGTGTGGGCACGAGGGGATGGGGACAGAGGCAGAGAGGCGCCGATCCCTGCCCGTCTGCCCTGACACAGAAACACCAGAACCGGGACGCCAGGAAAGCTCTGATGTGACCACGTCTGGCAGTGCCAAAGGCAGTGCCCCCCAGGAGCGCTGTGCCTACCTGCAGGATGTAGTTCTTCCAGAGGAGCAGCCCAAACTGCCTGAGAACAACCATCCTCCCATCGGACGGGGACCGCCGCCGCTCCGCAGGACTCTGAGGAAGAGGAGAGAGCAGTGAGCACGGTGCCCTCGCAGACCCCGGCAGCTCCCCACCGCCAAGGCCCAGGAGCTTGCGTGGTGGGGCAGAGGTTGCTGAGCCCCCCCAGGGCAGCAGGGTTTCATTTTGCCACAAGGAGCGCCAGGAGCTGAGGATGATGATGGTGTGAGGAGACCAGGAAACATCCCAGGCGTCGGCAGCAAGGCTGAGGGTGGCTATCGCCGCTCCCAGGACGATGTCGCAACAACCAGCTCAGCCCCGAAAGAGTGGAAAATAACCACAGTGCTCCCTCCCCAAGGGTCACGAGGAGCCCTCAAGAGCCAGAGGCGCCTTGGGTTTCTGGTGCTATCTGCTCCCAGCCATCCGCACGGCCTCGAGGCAGCTGCAAGCATCTGGACACGCAGTGAGCGAGGCTGCTGCTCGGAAACCCAGCCTGAGAGCACCAGGAGGTGTTGCAGCCACGTCCCACGGAGCTCCCGGGGTGCTGCACCCACCACACGGAGCAGGGCAGGAGCCCCACAGGCAGCGCCGGGCGAGCACGCTGCTGCCCAGGGCTCTGCAAGACACCCCGAAGGCTGCTGCGCAAAGGGAGCCAGCGCTCGGGCAGCTGCACAACCTCGTAGGGGTGCTTCAGCCAGCCACGGGCAGGGAAAAGATGTAGTGAAGGGGTGTGAGCACAGGATTACAGCACCACAACCAGCCCGAGGCCGGCCAGGAAGGCACTTGTCACCCCTTCTTTTGGTTCAGATTTCAGGCTGCGCCCCCGCCTCCCGCGACGCAGAAGTGGTGGTTGTGCAACGGGAACAATGCTTGCCCAGAACAAACTCTTGTCCCAGAGGAGAGGCAAGGTTGAGAAAAGCACAGGGGAGAGAGGTCTGCGCCCCAGGGTGCTGCACCCAAGCCCTTCCCCTCTCTGGAGGAACCCACCAGCCCTCCTCCCGCTTCCAGTTGAGCCATCGCTCGTCGGGCACGCAGGGGTTCCCCAAGGAAACTCTCCAGCCCCGGCAGGAGTTGAGCTGTGCTGGCACTCACCCCAACACCCCGGTGCAGGGGGTCAGCCCCAGCACGAGCAGAGCCAGCCAGCATCACGGCTGACCCTGGGATGACGAGACAAGAGGAGGTAGCACGGCCCCGCCAGCAGCTCAGGATAAATGCCAAATAATCATCTCAGAAATCCCTGACCTCAAAGGTCTTGTGCCAGGCAGCTGAACTCACTTCATCACATCACGTTTGGCAACTGGAGCCGGGAAACGCAAACCACAAAGTCGGGGCAAAGGAGCTATTGAGCCAAACAACAGCCCTGCTGTGCTCGGAGGCTGAGCCCAGCAAGTCCCCTCTTACCAGCTTCACCTCGGAGGTGCCCTGTGCCACGAGGAGCCCCGTGCTCCAGCCCCAGCCTCACGGCTTGGTCCAGAGGCTGGCAGCCACATGAAAGGACAGAAATAGCACAGGAGATGCTCGGCAGCAGGTTCTCCAGCTCTGGAGGGTACAGCACCAGTTCCCCGGGTTTGGAGGCTTGCTGCACTCGTGCGAGCAAAGGCAGGCAGGCAGGCAGGCTGTGTTTTCAGCAGACGCTGCACAAAAGCATCGCCTGCAGACACGGGAAAGCTGGCTCTGAGGGGCGGCCACGCTGCTCCGTGCCTCACCCGGCTGCCCCTGCGACACAGCCGCCTCCTCCTCCTCCCTCTGGCCGCAGTGGGGCCGTGCTGCTGCCACTGGGATTGCTTCCTGCGGCCAAAAGCACCCACAGGCAGCTGGGCCTCTGGAGATTAATAGCACCCATAGCCTCGGCAGAGAGCTGCGAGTACAAGGCGAAGCAGCCCAGCAAAGCCAGGGGGTGGTCAGTGACCCACCCGGCCAGAGCTGGGTAAAAACACGCCACAAGCACAGCGCCAGCAGCTGGGAGTATCAGAACGGCAGCAAGAGCAGGTTAAAATCCACACGGATCCATGGATAAAGCAACAAGCATCCATTTGGCCAGCCTGCCCTCCATAGCCAGGTCCCCGAGCCCTCCAGGTGTCCTCCTGGCTTGGCACACTTCTGTCCAGCCCTGAATCAAAACCCAGGTGCGAGCTCTGAGCAGAAAACCATCTGCTTTTTTCCCCGTTTGATACAAAGAAGTTCGATTCTTGCAGTAGCAAGCAACATCTGCGCCAGACTGTCCTGCTCTGCGCAGTAACCCAGAAAAAGAAGAAGAGCTCCAGAAGGAGCCCGTCAGACACCCCCCTCCACGGCGGCAGGCAGGGGAGGAACAGCAAAGCGGATTTTGCCAAGGTGGCTGCTGCTAGATTTCGGTTAAAACAGCCCAAAGCCCATCCCAGGCCCTCTCCGCCCCAGGTGACACCTTAGCAGAAATGCCACGGGAAGGGCCGGGACCCCTCGAGCCCCACACGCAGCAAAGCAGACGACAGGACCCCCGTGCGCCCACACGAACCACCTGAACACAAAAACCTCCTCCTGCACCTCCTCGAAGGGCATCAGGAACGAATCGAGGCAACCAAAACCATTGCTCCTTTGTTTCACAGGCGATCCGACAGCGACCTACCTGCTGCTCGCCCTGCCGCACCCTCAGACACCTCCCGAGCGCCCGCACGGCGCTGCTGCTCCCAGCGGGGCTCTCACCTCTCTGAGAAAGTGTCAAGCACCTCTTGGGTAACGCCAACGCTACGCAACGTCGGAAAACTCCAGTATTGCCAATCAAATCTGCCCACCCTTTTTTAAGTGCCCCAAGAAAACCCACACCGAACCGTTTGCTGGCTGCGGAACAAGAGCAGGAAGGCGCTCAGGGCTGCTCTTACAGGCTTGAGTGCAAAAAAAAAAAAAAAAAAAAATGGTTTCCCAGGTTCTGAGCATCCCCAGAAATGATTTTTTCAACTCAGAATGTGCAAAACCTGAAGGGAAAGCATTTTTTTTTTTTTTGAAGGCGCTCCCTGGGCGAGCTCTGATGCCCCAGCAGGCCCCAGCCTTGCTCCTGGGGCTGCTCGATGGCCATCCCTGGGAAGCGGGGCTGTGCACAGGCGGATCCGTGCAACCACGGGAGGCACCGCGTGTACCTTGCAGGAGGACACCACGCAACTCACCTGCAACCCCGGGGTGCTGGGGCAGCTCAGGTTACCCTCCAGAGACGCTCTCCTGCCTGACCTCAGCGCTCGCTCTGCCAGCCAGGACCGACGAGCCCAGGGGGAGCAGGAACACGGCCAGCTTGGGGAACGCGTGGTCCCCCAGTTCCACCTCCCCAAAAAGCCCCCGCTTTCTGCACTGCAGCCCCGAGGGACAGCGAGCCCGCTGAGCACAGGGCTGGCCCCGTGGCCACCCTCCTGCCCACAAGGACCTGGCGGGTTGGGATCCGGGCAGGGACGGTGCCACATCGCGACCCCGCTGCGAAGGGCCGGGTGAAGGCCGTGCACTCCCGGGCGCAGCGCTCATTTCCGCGGCCTCGCCTCATTTCTGCTCTTCTGCTGCCCTGTTGCCATAGGAACGCGGCCTGGAAATGGCAGACGGGGCTTTTTTTTTTTAATCGTTTCTCCCTCCCGGCTCGGGGAGGAAGCATCCCCGGCAGGCTGGGGGGGCTGCAGCAAGCCGGGGCCGGGCACGGTGCCGGCAGCCACGTCCCGGGCTGGATGGGGCAAGCTGCGCACAGCGTTTTGGGGAGCCGGGAGCCATTTCCAACACCTCCAGCCCATCCTGCCTCCAGCAGGGCTCCGGGACTGCGTGCCCCGAGCCGCCAGCTCCCGGTTGCCGCCTCCCTTTTCCCGTTTCGCTGCCGCAGGAAGCGCAGGAGCCGTGCGCCCGGCAGCCGACAGCCCCAGCGCACTGCGGTGCGCACGGAGCCGGGACCCCGACGCGCGCCCCCGCGAACCGGCACCGGCGGCTCCCGGAGCGGCCCCCACCGTGCGCGCCCCCGGCGCTCCCCGCTCCCCAAGGGCGAGCACCGGCAGCGGGCACGAGCGGCGGCGGCGCCGCCACCTCCTGGAGACCCCCCTGGAGACCCCCCCGGGGACCTCCCCGGGGACCTCCCCAAGGGACCCTCCCGGTGCTGTTGGGGCTCGGCCACGGGGTCGGAGCCCCCCCCCCGGTCCCGCACTCACCGGCACCCCCCGGCCGGGCGGCTCCGGCCTCAGCGCCGCGCCCGCGCCGCCGCCATCCCGGGAGCCGCCCCGCCCCGCGCACGCGCCGGGCGTGCGCGTGCACGCGAGCGCGCGCGCGCGCCGGGGCTGCGCCCGATGGCTCCGGTGGGGGGGGGGGGGGGAGGAGGGAGCAAGCGCGTGCGCGAGGGGCGCGCGTGCCCGCGGGGGGACCTGCGGCACCTGGGGGCTGGGGAGGGGACCCCAGGGGCAGGGCTGCAAGGGGGGAGGCAGGGCAAGAAATGGGGAGCCCAGGGGGGACGTGTCCCCAAAACCAGCCCAGGGCTCGTTGCAGGGTTTGGGGTTAGGAGGATTGGCAGGGTGGGATGGGGATGGTGTGTGCCTGCTCTCCGAGCTCCAGCTGGGGTTTGGTGGGCTCCACGGGTGGTTGGTGGGCTCCTCGTGGCTTTTCGCCATCGCTTGGGACCACGCTGCAAACATATTGCTTTCAACCTACTGCAGGTGTAACGGGAACGGGGTGGGCAGAGCGCTGTGCCCCCAGTGCCAGGGAGCTCGGCAGCGTGGCCACGGGTGCTGGGGGGTATCTGGGGCAGCTGGTGGCTGTGGAAGGCAGGCCCACGGCGTTGCGGCCTCGCGTCAGCCTGGGTTGAGCCAGCCCTGCCGCGTCCACGCCCCTCCTCCAGCGTGGTTTGATCTTCCCCAATTACAGCTTCCCCGTGACCTTCCCTATTGCCTCACTCGGCTCTTCTCCGGGCCTGGCTTTGAAGGAAGCGGAGCGATTAGATCAAAACAGAAGTCTTGCCAAAGCCGGTATTTACAGGCTCCTCGCTGCTCCTGGAACAGCAAATGAGAGATGTTGCAAGGAGGCAGGGTGACATCGCGGTGACTCAGCTGGTGCTCAGGAGACGGGAGCAGGGCCAGGGCTGCCCTGCGGAGAGGGGCAGCAGCACGCCAAGGTGCGAGGACCGAGGCTGCAGTCGGGTGCAGGGCAGGGAGGACTGGGTAATCCCATCCAGGACTGGGCACGGGCAGAAGATAAACCACAGGGACAGCCTTCCCACCTCGCTGTGTCGGAAAGCTGGAGAGGGCTTGGTTGTGGGTGTGTCCCCCCCATGGCTCCGTCACACTCATCAGCAACATCTGAAAGGATGAGAAGTCAGCCCCTGTGCTGGCACAGCTGCTGAAACCTGCTGGTCACCTCCTCCTTCCAGAAATTCTGGTTTGAAACCATCTTCCTGTGTCCAACATCAGCCCAGCTGTCCCCAGGGAGCCTCTCCACGCGGGGTTGTGTGTCCCCGAGCCTGGGGACACCAGCCCCCAGGATAGCCCCTGGGCTGCATGGCCGGGGGGCTGAGGTGCGTGCTGAGGATACCCACACTCGGCTACTGCTGGGGAGCACTGTTTGATGACGCTGGTGTCGCTGTGCAGCACCCAGGGACAAACCTGGCCATGTCCTTGTGCTCCCTGCCACCTAAAGAGGAGGAGCTGCCAGCGACACTTCCCTGGACAGCCCCAAACCACGAACCCAGGGTCAGAGACAGGCAAACAGAGCTGACTTCTGCTGGGTTCACTTCCCATTTTGTCCCAGTTTCTTCCCACTTGTTGGCTTAGCTGCAATGCTGGCTGTTGCAATACCGGGGACCGTGTTTGTTACCCCAGAGCGCCACCTCCCAAGAGAAGATGCCAGGGATGTTCCTCGTGCAAGTGGGGAGCAGATCAGCACCTTGCTGCTTCAGAGCCTCGGGGTGAGCATCCACACATTACGTCTTGCAGAAACTGGGAGCATTGCAGGAAGAGTCAGAAGTTCACCTAAAACACAGCTTTAGAGGAAACCTCATACACTGCAGCCAGCGCGGCTCACACAGCAAGGGTGGGCAGGCTGCTGGTTAGGCAGGTTGCCTTTAGTCTTAGGAAAAAATAGAGACATTTTCAGAATAGAGAAAGCATTCCAAGGAATGATGGGCTCTAAATGAAAACCAAATCAGCTCTTAAACTGAAAACAATCCCAGGAGGGCTTTTAGGTCAAGGATGGGGTGGGGTCGGTGGGCAGTGGTGCAGGGAATCATCCAGAGGTAAATTCATATCTCTGCTCCTTCAGCAAGGGTCAGAGGAAGAGAGACATTGAAAACAGCCTCCAGGGCAAGAGGAGATGCGGATGGTGCTCTGCTGTGCCTGCAGCCCTGGCAGGAGGAGCAGGCAGCCTGGTTTGGGTGAAGATAAGGCATCGGTGAAAGGGACAACCCGGGGTGGGAGGCGAGGAGGAGCTGGTGGAGGACTGGGTGTGCAAAGGGCTGGGGGAGGCACGGGACCAAGCAAGTGAAGGTGTGGGGTGCAGTTAGGTGCGTTGGGAAGCAGAGAGGTGCATCGGGAACCTGCAGGAACCCCTGGGGAGTGGCCCAGGAGACAGAGAGGATGAGGGAGGAGGGCACTCCACCCAGAGAGGATGGGGACAATGTGCCCAAACTGCTGAGGGAGGCCACGAGGCTGTGAGAGCGAGAAATCGCTGTGTACGGAAGGAGAAATGAGAAATGTGACAGCAAAGACATCCCAAATTGACTGCATCTGGAGAAGCACAAGGAGGGGCATCCCCCGAGCCATAGACTGGGAAAATCCTCCGTGAATCCTCCGCAAATACATGTACATGCACCCCTGGTCTCTGCACGCTTTCCCAGACATCACCCACTGCTGATGGCAGGATCTGGGCTTTAGTGTGACCTGATATGGCTGGGACTGTGCTTCGTTAATGCTGGGCTCAGTTCTCAGCAGCAAGCCAGGCCGTGCTGGTGCTATCACGGGATGGCAACCGCTGCCTCGGCCAGGAGCTGCCAGGCTGCAAAATGGGCACAGGTAAGGGCAAAAACCCTTGGCACGCTTACATAACCTTGCCAGGAGGAACTACGTAAAACAGAGAAACTCACAGGGAGAAGTGAAAATGAAATACAGAGGAAAGTTCTTGTAAATGATGGGGAGATATCATCTAGCCAGTGTACCACCAAGACACAGAGGTTCTGCCATGGTGAACCTGCTGGGGGATGGCTTAACAGCAAGGCAAGCTAGCCAAAATGCAAACAAATAGTTAAAACACACCAAATAAAATTATTAGAAAACTGGCATTTTCTGTTTCAAACAAGGAAAACAGCAAGATGCAAAGCCCTCAGCAAGTTAAAAGCCACGTTCACACAGACAAAAAATATTTTGAGCGTAATTTGCTTACCGCACAAAAATTATAGCCAGGGTTTGCAAACCCGTCAGAAAGAAGAAGTTTGCTGGGAGCCCACTGTGGCTGGCAGGGATGGGGCAGGTGTGTGCTGGGGCCTCACTGCAGAAGCTCTGCACGATGTTAAGGATGGATTTACAGCAAGCTTTTGCTTTTAAAGTAACTGCTTAGGAGTTAGGAGATGGTGTGGGAATAAATGGGATGATGTGTGCCAGACCTGTGCTGGTCAATACGTCCATGAGAGAGCAGCTCCTGCTGGCGATGCGCAGGGCCTCGGGGTGGTGAAGATGAAAGCAGGCTGTGAAAAGCTGGGGAGGGGTTGCGTGATGTCAAGTGGCTGAGCAGAAAGACTTAAAATGTGATTCAATATAACTGAATTCAAGGCAACATAAAAAATAGTGCTATGTGTACGCACTGACAGGCTCTCTCTTTTTTTTTTTTTTTCTTTGATACTAGCTTGGGGGCTCTTGGAAAGAAATCTTAAAGAATTCCCCTTTTTTCACACACATTTTCCCATCACTAATTTTTCTCACCATTTTTTCTCGGCCTTCTGGGGTTTGACTTTTTAAAGCAATATGTATTTTGGTTTACTGAATGGATTATTCTCTGCCCAAATTGAATGTAATCAGGTCATGATCACCGTTCCCTAGGCAACCACCACCAGAATTATAGAGCTATGATCATGAATTAACACCGTTTAAAGAAGTCAAAAACAACAGCAACAAAAAAAATTGTAACTGCAGGGCTTAATAAGTTGTTGCTGAAACATGACATTCACGTCGGGGCCACCAGCTGGTGCCTTCGGTAGGGAAAAGCAACGATTATAGATCTTAATTCAGGAGCGAGGTGAAGACGCCAGCAGCCTGTAAAGGTGCGTTCAGCCAAATCTGATGAAGGAAATTGTGACGCATAGCTCTGATTAACAAAGGAATTGCTATCTGCACCCATACGAGGGGCAGGAATAGCTAGGACTGAGAAGAAGCTGGCGCACTGGGGGGTGGCTGCGGGGGCAGCCAGCTCTGCACACCCCTGCTACACCCACAGAGCCAGGAAAAAATGACAAAGTGACCCAAGTGCGTGCTGTGTCCTGATGAACGCCGCAGGTAGGGACGTGGGAGCCCGGCCAGCCTGCTCCACGGCTGCTGGCAGCGTCCACACGCTTCAAAGGCAGATGGAAAAGTGCCGGCAACAGACGGCAGCAAACAATCCGAGTACGTGCTGGGCCTCCTCCGTCACTTGGCGCAGTTTGGGCTTTTCTGGGAACACTTCAAGTGCTCAGCGAGTGTTGGGAATGTTTTTGGTGTTTGGAGGGGCTGGGCTGGGCAGCCAGCCTGAGGTGGGACGAGGTCTGTGCAGCACTCCTTGGCCGGGGGAATCTCTCCTGAGCTGGGCCCTGGTGTGGGGCTGATGCCAGGTGCCATTTTATTCAGGCAGCTCCTTCCTGGCCCTGCCATTTTATTCAGCCAGCTCCTTCCTGGCCCTGCCATTAATCATCCAGCTCCCTCCCGGCCTCGCTGAGCTACCATGAGGGCAGCTGCTGCCCCAGCCTGCTGCCAGCCCGCTCCCTGCACGCGAGGTGCTGCAGGCTGGCCAGGACGAGGTCTGGAGGGCGATGCCATCATGACGGCACCCCCTGCGCCTGTCCCACCAGCACCTTCCTCACACGTGGCCCTGTTTGAGCCCACCCGGGGCAGAATGGCCGCAGCCCACCCACATTTGTTGTGTTGGCCCCGTGGGGCCAGCCTGAGGTGCACGGTGTGCAGTACAGAGAGCAGCGGGCCTTGTTACTCCTCCCAACACTGTCTCATTAACCCCAGCACTCATGAATTTTGAAGAACCCATTTTGTAGTCCTAAGTTCACTTTTATGTAGCTTTTTATTACAATTTCTTAAATAACAAACCAATAACCCAAAACCAAGAAGGAAGTAACGGAAATAGCCTCCTTCCTCCAGCGCCAGGACCTGGGAAGGCTGGTTGAGGCAGCAGGGGCAGCCCCTGGCAGCGTTCCCCTTCCTTCTCTTTCTGTCCCTTCCCTTTCCCCATCCTCATCCCCTTCCCCTTCTTCATCCCTATCCCCTTTCCCTTCCTCACCCCTTCCCTTTCCCCTTCCTCATCCCCTTCCCCTTCCTCATCCTCATCCCCTTCCTCATCCTCTTCCCTTTTCCCATCCTCATCCCCTTCCCTTTCTCCTTCCCCATCCTCATCCCCTTCCGTTCCCCATCCTTATCCTTATCCTACCTCCTTCTCCTTCCCTATCTCCTTCTCCATCCTCAACCCCATCCTCTTCTCCATCCTTATCCTTATCTTAATCCTTATCCTTGTTCCCTTCCTCACTTTCTCCTTCTCTTTCTCCTTCTCTTTCTCCTTCTCCTCCTTCTTCCCCTTCTCCTACCCTTTCCCTTTCCCCTTCCCCTTCCTCATCCTCTTCTCCTCCTCCTTCACCCCATTCCTCTTCCCCTTCCTTATCCTCCCCTTCCCCCTGCCCGCCCCACCGCACCCCGACCCCTCCGTGCCGAGGAGCCGCCCCCCCTGCCCCGTCCCTTCCCGTCCCCCCCCAGCCTCGCGCATGCCCGTGCCGGGCCGCAGCGGCTCCTCGCGGGCCCTCAGCGGCGGGGCTGCGGCGATGCCGGGCCGCGGGCGGCGGGGCCGGGGCCGCGCTGCGGGGCCGCAGCAGAGCCCGGCTCCAGCTCCGGCTCCGGCTCCGGCTCCGGCTCCGGCTCCCGGCTGTGCCCTCGGGCCCGCCCGCTTCTGCCCGCAGTGCGGCCGCGGCGTGGAGGCCGCCTTCAGGTTCTGCCCGGCCTGCGGGGAGCGGCAGCCGCCGGCCCCAGGGGAAGCAGCGGCGGCGGCCCCGGCACCGTGGCAGGCCCGGAGCCCCGCGGCCGGGCCCGGCTCCGGCTCCTCGTCCCCCTCGGGGGCCTCCCGGCCGCCCCCGCCCCGGTCCCCGTCCCTGTCCCCGGCGGCGAAGCGCGGCTCCTTCTCGCCCCGCAAGCCGCGGGCGGTGGCGGCGGTGCCGTTCCCGGAGGCCGAGGTGCTGGAGGATCACGGCAAGAGGCGCTGGAGGCTGGGCCGGCTGCTGGAGCACGGCGGGCCCGGGCTGATGTACGAAGGTGCTGTGGGGACGGGGAGCTGGGGGTGAGGGGGGCACGGCCCGGGCAGGGCTGGCGGGGGGTCCCCAGGGGGTGTGGGGCGGGGGCTGGAGGCCCCACACCGGGTTGTGGCCCCGTGGGGTCGGGGATTTGTGTTAGGACCAGGAGCCTTGCAGGCCATGGTGCAGTTTCCTGTTTTTTTAGGTTCACAACCCACAGGCCGTGAGCCCCACGCAGGAGTTCCTGTGCCGCAGGTGCTGTTGGGGCTGTGTAAATGTCAGGTGGGGATTTTCCCCATTTCAGGGCCAAAAGGAACCAGAGAAATCATCAGGGCATTGTCTCGGCTGTTCAGTGCGTGCTGAGCTTTTCTCACCACTCCAGTTGTGTATTTCCAAGGGAGAAGTTTTGATCCCATTCCCCACCGTCACCCTGAACACACTGCTCAGGAGGAATTGCCCCCACGAGTAAGCTTTGCCCCATGTTTGGCTTCAGTTTCCTTCTACTTGCTTATGCCGCTTCGTAACAAAGGCAGGGCATCCACAGGCGTGATGGTAGGAAAAGAGCAAATCAATGCTGTTACTGCAGTGGAAGGTGCTGTTACAGAGACACCTTTGGGGTGATGAGCAGCTGATAACCTCTGTGTAGCATCCAGGCTGCGAGCAGCAGAAAGGAGCCTGCCCCAAGGCAAAGTAATGGGTGCACATTTTGGAGGAGGAAGGTGACGTGCATAATAACATTACGCAGAGGAGGAGGGACTTACAGATCTCTTACAGACTGGAAAAACTACATAGTGAGCCAAAGGGAACTCTCATCAAATTAATTTGGGGATGCCTTTGAGATTCTACTAATGACTTGTTCTTTGCGTGCCATCTTCAAAGCACCCCCCGTACTGTAGCCATGCGTAGATGCTGCTGTGACTTAAGCAGATCTGCACCTGAAGCATGTCAGGGGTGCTGTGCCTCTGGAGCAAGGTAAGAATTATTTTGTGGCAGTATGGGAAGGCGCTGTCACGGAGGAAGCTTTTGCAAAGTCCAAGCGAAAGAAGCAGAGGATAAGTAAGAGTCGGGCTGTGCAGGCTGTGTTTAATGGCACAGCTGACACTGCGAGTAGCTCTTTTCTGTGCTTCTGTAACCACATCTGTTCCATCCTTCCACAGCACAGTCAGCATCTGGAGCCTGTCCTCAAAAGCAAAGATTCTCCCTCAAACTTGTGAGTTTTGATCTGTTTGGGTAAGAAGTAGTGTGTAGTGCTGTGTCCAGGGCCTGACCCACCCGTCTGTAGGGCTAGAGGTGGCATTCAGGGCAGGTGGGCAGAGAGGCCCCCTCTAGCCTGAAGCTGTGCCGCCTCGTGGCTTCACTGTCCTCATCTCTGTAGGTAAAATCCCTCAGAGGGAGGAAAATAACACCATTGCTTAGGAGATGGATAAAACTTCCCAGGAATCTCTTGCTTGGTTTTCAGTAGACGTTGGCTGTTCCACTAGAGGTGTGAAGAAAAACAGCTACAAGGAATTCATTTAAAAGCAAACAGACAAAAACCCCTTCATCCCAGAAGACTGCCCCTTCAATCCACAAGGCTCAGTAATCTCTAAACCTGAATTTAGTGCTGTAGGATAGAGTTCTTGTTCCATTAATGTCAGGCCTGCTTTCTTCCTGTATGGCGAGGGCATAAATCCTGCTGAAATCAGGGGGGAACTGGAGATGACAGCATTTGGTGGTTACGCTGAGGTTATACTGAGAGACTCTTAACACCAGAGCACATCTTTAAATTAAACAGTAATTAAAGTTGTAATTCTAAGCCAGCTTCCTAGGCGCTTCCAAAGATTTGTGTTCTCTGGAAACGTGTTATTTTCACTAATAGCTGTTCTGCAGTTGAAATCGAGTTGATGACTGATGGCTCTGTGGGGGACGTGGTGGTGCCCACTCACATGTGCTAGTAAAATTATTCACTCTTCTGTCAGAGGAGAGCTACATAGGAGGGTGGAGAAAGAATAGAGTGTTAATGAGAACAGACAGCTAGCTGCCACAAAACTAGAACCAGTAGGTGGGGATCTTTGTTCAGTTCTGTACGTAATGCTCCCAGCTCCTGTATTTTGCACCTTCTGGTGTTTTGATCAGCAGTCTTCTGACTGCAGCCCAGCCCTGGTGGCTGTAGCGGTCTGTAGCATAGCACACGAGAGCATTTGGGTTCAGGTTGGCTTCCCAGGCAAGATGCACAATGAAATATCTGGAACGTGGTCGTTGGTGTTGTCTGGAGACTGCTGATCCCGCAGAAAGCGGGGCTGCTTGTGGGTGGGGTCTTTGGTATCAAACCAGCCAGGATGTGAAACGGCTGCCTCCTCCCATGCGGAGCATCTGCCCTAAGTTAGCGTGCAGTGTCCTGAGGATATTTCTGTGTATGTCTGTATAAACGTGTGTGGGCACACAGACGTGGATACGTTGGTTGTAAACCATCAGGTCACTTGATAACAGGAGTAGTAAAAGAGCAGCAGTGCTGACTGGCGTAAAAAGGATGGATTTTAAGAATCCAACACATTACCCAGACACTTAGGAAATGTTGCGAATCCTTGTCTCGTTTTCTGACAGCTAGCATAAAATGGAATAGCTTTGACTTGCCTCTTCGCAGAAAGAACCTCATCTGTGCTGTGGCTATGAAGGTTGCCTCTGTCTCCTAACATAACAGCTTCAGGACTAGAGCTCGTTCTGGGCTGCCAGATGGTTCACGTTGTCTAGGTGCTCTTAACCGATGGATGCTTCTTAGTGGTAGTGCTTGAAACGTGTGAGAGCTGCTCCCTCCTTCCATGCTGATGCTTGGAGTCAGTGCGGCTGTCAGGTGCAGCATTAAATATTGAGCCAAAAGACCTGAACTCTCTTCTCAGCTCTTCTGCTGTCTGTTCTTTCGTTTTTTGGGGGTAGGAAGGGGGAGGTTTAAAAATATTTAGTGAAAGTCTTATAGCAGTCTTGCCCAAATTTGCCATTCCAGCAGGGGGTGTGTTGCTGAAGTAATGCATTTTCTTTCTGTTTCCTTTAGGATGCCAAAGATGGCAAGATCTACAACGAACAGAACTTTTTCCAGCGAGCTGCAAAGAAAGACACAGGTTGGTGCTTCTTGGAATGGTGGGGACAAGGCTGCTTGTTAGGAAAACTGGCATCACTCTCTCGTTGGTTCTGTCAGTTTCTCAGAAGGCAAGGCTAGAATAAACTAATTTGTTGCTTCATCTGTGCCAGAGTGCTGAGCAGTTCAGCCAAGAGCCTGCTCTCCCAGGCTGTCCCTGCCTTCAGGACACTGTAATATTGGCATTTTGAAGCTCTCTTGCTCTACCCAGGCTTCGTCTTCATCTCGGTGGTAGCCGTTGAATCCTGCAGCCTGGCTGGCCGTTGCTCGCTCTCTCTTCTGTGCTGCTTCCGCATTTCTGTCAGCTGCTGTCAAGTATTTACTCAGTTGACTCAAAAACCTCAGCGTGGGCAAATCTGACCAGGGAACATGGGCAGGTGTTTGAGCAGGGGTTTTGGGGGAATTCCTGACAAACCTGCACTTCTGGGAAGACTGCAATCAAATCCTTCCCAAGCCTATGTGTAGAATTTGCTTGTCCATCACTGCTCCTGACTCTTCTTCCCTTCTTGTTTTACACAGCCCCATAGCAAGCACACGCTTTAGCCTGCTCTGGTATTTCCAGCATCTCTGCTGTCATATTCTTGCTCTGCAGTGCTGTGTTCATTGACATGCTAACACCCCAGCATATTAGGCTGGCATTTCTGGGACAGAATCAGTATGAGAGTGACTTTTAACTGAGCTGCCCAGGGCAGATCAGGCCTTTGGAGAAAGGCCATCCCTGACTGAGCTCCTTTGTTTTGGAGCTCCTTAGCAGCATCTGCTGCACTTTGTCCTCTTCTCTTGCCTTCTAGTGGATAAGTGGAAGAAGCTACACTCTTTGCCCCTGCTGGGAATCCCCAATTGTGTTGGCTTTGGACTGCATGCAGATAAATACAGGTGAGGTGACTCTGTGAAGGACACAGCTGAGCTCTTTTGTCCACAATTGCCATCCTCTTGGGCTTTTTCTTTCTTTCCCTCTTGCTCTCTGCTGTTTCATTTCTTGCTGTCCACAGGCTCCTAAGTATGTATTGCTCCTATTTCATTTATTACCAAAATTATTTATCACCAAAAATTATTGCCTCTCCCAATATTCCTTCAGTCTTTGTGTTGCTGGTGAAGTCATTGCTTTTGCTGCTTCTGCTCCTCAGGCCCAGGGACATCTTATTGCTGCCTTTTAAACTTAACTCAAAAGGGGAGACGAGACTTTGTAATATGTGGTCAGCGTGTCTCTCCTTTTCATAGAGTTTTTTGTTATATATAAGAAATGAGAAAAGCTTTACCCACGTTAACATGAAGTGGGGGACAGGTCTAATCCAGGTAGAATGCTTGATGAGTGTCTGTTGTAGGGTTTCTGAACCAGGTAGGTACTGCCAAGTCCTTGTCTCTTGTAGGTTTTTGGTGTTCTCAGACTTAGGGCGAACTCTTCACTCCATCCTGAATGATGGCGTACGCCTGAATGAGAAGGCAGCTTTTCAGATCGTAGTCCGGCTGGTACGTAGAGAACCAATACTTCCCAAGGGACTTGTTCAGAAAAGGCATACAACTTCTCCCCTAATCTTATAAAGATGTTTTAAAGCTAACCCAGGGGCTTGGCTGGGGTCTTAAAGCAGCATCACTTGAGCCTGTTGTTGAACTTGAGTAGCATCTCTTGAGCAGTATGTAAATTTGAAGGAATTTGAGATAAGGAGAGTGAAAGAAACCTGGCACTTGAAAATCAGAATCTGTGAGACGTGGTGCTAATGTGTACCTGCACACAGCTTCAAGGAACTGTGTTGGAAAGTCCAGTTTAGGGAAAGCCCGTGTGCAGAAGGAACGCATGGGTCTAATACGTTGACGTTTTCTGTTTACTTGTAGCTAGACTGCCTGGAGTACCTTCATGAAAATGAGTATGTGCATGGGGACATCACGGCTGAGAACATCTACGTGAACCCAGAAGACCTCACGCAGGTATGGAGCTGGAGCCGTGCTGCAAGGAAATGGCAGTGAAGGAGGGCTGATGAAGCAGGACAGAACACCCAGGATCCTGCTCTTGAGCAGGGGAATGATGCATTCTGTGCAGTGCTCAAGCAGGTTTTGTAGTGCAGGATTGGGGAATTCACAGATTTAACACCTGAAGGAGTGGACGTGGTACCTGCCATGCCACCTGGAGTCTGCAATAAGGAGATTCCTTGGAGGGAAGTTTCAGGCTCTGTCCTGGAGACCTATGGAGGAAGAGGAGCAGATATACAGCTTGGGGTCCTGGCCCCAAGCAGTAATGCTCAGACGCGTGTTTCTTGGTGTCTTGTAGGTGACCCTAGCGGGCTACTGCTTTGCATTCCGTTACTGCCCAGGAGGGAAGCACGTGGCTCAGCGCGAAGGCAGCAGGACCCCTCACGAAGGCACGATAGAGTTTATCAGTCTGGACAGCCACAGGGGAGCAGGTCAGTCTCTTTCTGACACGAGCCAGTCAAGCTTGCCACAGAGCTGTTTCTGTGGCATTGCTCTCTGGAGCTGGCATTTGTTAGTAAAAATGCCTGGAAATCATCACCTGCAACTCAGCTTCTGGTCGGGCTGTTCCCTCTAACCTCTCTCTAGGCTGCTGTGCTGGGACTTGCCAGGTTACTCAGCAACAGCAGCAAGAGGTGCAGGGATGTTCCTGCTCCATCTGGAGCCTTGGCTTTACTGCAGGCATGCAAGGAATAGAAAACTGGGCTGCTTCCTGCTGGCTTAGCAGGGGTATGTTTCAAACCAGACTGGATCCCTGCCCAAAACAGAGTTGAAGCAAGCCGGCTTTGCTCTGACCTTGAAGCAGTGAGAGCTGGAAGGGTATTTAAATTAGCCAGTACCTCTCTTGGTTGCAGTGTTCACACTGGGCAAATGTTCATCCAGGGGCTGGGATGTGCTCATTCAGCTGTGGGCAGCAGGCTCTCAGAACTGTCGATATCCTCTAGCAGTGAAACTCTTGCATTTCTGTACTTCAGCTCCTTAGGCTTGTGCCCCATCACAAAGCTGCCTGTTTTACATAAAGAACACTTAAAATAGAGACTTCCGAGGTTGTGCAATGCGTGCTAGTCTCTACTTTCATTTGAAGGAAAGGTGCTAGCCTCCCAAATACTTTTTCATGTGTCAATCTCCCTTCTTTCCCATCAGGACCATCTCGACGGAGTGACTTGGAATCTCTGGGCTACTGTCTCCTGAAATGGCTCTGTGGCTTCTTGCCTTGGTCTCATGATCTGAAGAACGTGGAAGCTGTGGTGGAGAAGAAAGAAAAGTAGGAGAAATCTTCTGCTCTTTTGGGAAACGCTCAGCAGAAAGTGCTGAGGAATGTTCTGTGACTTAAAGAGAAATCACATGGTCACAGTACACTATTGGGATGTGGGTTAATCCAATGTAAAGGCTGAGACTGGAAGCAGGTGGCCAAACAAAAGGGTTATTGGTGAACCCAGAGTTCAGCACCGTTTAGAACTTGGCCACCTGAATTCAGCCTTTTTTTGTCCCTGTTGTTCTGCTTGATGGTCTGCTTGAGGGCCTGCTCCTTTGCTTCTCATCTGACAGCACTCTGCATTGATTATTCCAGGTACAAAGCAGATGTGACGTGCCTTCTCCGACAGTGCTTCATGGGGCAGAGAGCAATTCCAGGTGTGGGCTTGCTTTCCTGCGGGCTTCTTGTGGAGGGAGGATTGACTGTACTTGAGGTCAGAGCCTTCCCTGTGCTGGCGTGCTAGCTGGGATGGCTTCCAGTGGTGATGGTGGCAAAGCATTGCATGGAGCAGCTGACAGGCTCCCCCTGTGAATGAATCCCTTGTTTTCTTTGCAGCAAAACAAGGAGGGCTGCTGCCCATTATCTGTATTCATGAGCCTTGCTGAAGAGGCAAGTGTTCTGGGGGCTTTAAAAATGCAGGACTTGGGTCACTTCCCCACCCTATCTTTGAGTTTCATATTAGCCTTTTGTTTTCATAGACCCACAAAACAGTTTGGGTGGGAAGGGACCTTAAACATCATCTGGTTTCACCACCCACATAGCAAAGAATTTCTTATATCTAATCCAAGTCTACTCTCTTTTAAAGACTCCTTGTCCTATCACTATGCTCCTGGCAAAGAGTCCCTCTCCAGCTTTCCTGTAGCCCCCTTTAGGTACTAGAAGGCCGCTGTAAGATCTCCCCAGAGCCTTCTCTCCTCTGAGCTGAACGAGGCAGCTCTCTCAGCCATAATGGAAGTGCTCTGTCCCTTTGGTTGCCCTCATGGCCCTCCTGTGGACTCACTCCAGCAGCTCCCTGTCCTTCCCCTGTGTGGGGGGCCCAAGCTGAACGCAGGGCACTGCGGGTGGTGCCTCACAAGAGCAGAGGGGGCGAATCACCTCCCTTGTACCTGCTGCTCCCACTGCTCCTGAGGCAGTCCAGGTTTTGTTTTCCTTTCTCTGCAGCTGGCCAAGGCAGGTGAGCGAGCTGTCTATGGGGAATGCAGTCTGGAGAGGCTATTTGGCAGCTTTGTAAAGATGATGGGTGGCTGTGCTGCTCCGGGCGGTGACATTCCTCATTTTGCAGATGCCCTTCAGCGCTACCTGCAGCAAGTAATGGCACTGGAGTATGAGGAGAAGCCCAACTATGAGTTCCTGCGGCAGCTCTTCAAAAAGCCACTGGAGAAGATGAAAGCATCAGCTTACGACTCCGTGGCCATCACGATAGTGCCCTAAGTAAGTGCCTGTAGTTCAGACTGCCACAGTGCAAAGCACTTGTGCCCCTGTGCTGCTTTGAGTAGCACAGTGCCGTACACCCTGGGGTGCTGCAGGCAGCAGCAAGAGGAGGTGAGAAGAGAGTAGGGTGGTCTGTGAACTCACCCAAGACCACGGGGCTCCTCCTGACTGTGAAAGCAGCACTGTTATTTCACTGTTCCCTCTTAAGAGGCCAGTCCAGTGCTATGCAAGGCCAAGCTTAGCAGTTGTCACATCTGCTTCTTTGAGGTTTTGTAGAAAGGCATAATACTTGCCAACTTGCCACCTTCTTCCAGGTGCAATAAAGGCTGAAGTCTGCAGGGCCCTGAAGGTGCTAACAAAGTACAGATTGATGTGGTCCTTAAAAAAAAAAAAAAAATCCAGAATCTGGGCTGTACCTTTTGTAGTTCTTTTTCATAAAGCCACCTTCTAGTGCAGCCCTGTAGGCACAAGTGCTCTATTTTGTCCATGAAACACTTCATGCCAAGGTGAAGGCTTGATAAGAGATACAATACAAATAAATACAAAGACAAATCTATGTCTAGTCTGGGCCTGCCTCAGTTAAGGCCTCTGGTTTAAGCAGGAGCCCCAGGAGCAGATTTCTGGGAAGGAGTTGTACAAATGCTGGTTAATATTCCTGTTTGTGCCTTTTCTTTTAGATCAAGGAAACTTGGACTGGAAAACAGAGTTCAAAGCTTTCTGCAGTGTGAGCCCCTTTTCAGAAGACATTTAACTTTTACCTACCTGGTTTAGCGAAAGACTTTTTAAAGGCATTTTCCTCTAATTTTAATGTAACGTGCTACTGAATGCTGAGCCACTGCTGTAAGAAGCTACTGTGAAGATGCTCCTGCGTGGCAAGTTAGTGTAAACAGCTGGAGAAGTGCACTCTAGCCACCAGGAGAAGGGCACAAAGAAACTAAATCAGGGACTTTTTTAAGTGACAACAGTGGCAGTACGTTGTTTTATAATAAACTTTAGACAAGCACCTAAGGCCCCCTGTCATGCAGTTATTTGTCATGTTCAAGGCATTTCTGGAGACTTTCTTTCTGGGGATGCTATAGAGTTATGATGGTGAGTTGAGCCCCATCTAATTTTTTTTTTTGCCGTGTAATGGCAGTTTGCAGGATGCTCTCCCAACTGCTCATGCTGTTCATGTAAATAGCCTACAGGCTGTCCCTCTTGGAACACAATCCTAACAACTTGGCTCAGAGCTAAACCCTGACTTCATCCCTAAGCAGTACCTTAACTCTCCAAGCGCCAGGTCAGTGCAGTAGGCAAACGGGATACCATCCACAGAAGTAACACAAGGAGCCATCTATTTATACAAAAAAAAAAGTTTTATAAAAAAAGTCACTACATTGTGTGTATCTGAACTGTTGCCATCTGCCACAGTAAATTCTAAACAAAGGAAGAATCATGGAGTCCAGTTCCAGTGTTAAGTTCATTGACATCTCCTGGAAGTCTTATACCTTGGTATTTGAATGTTCACTATGTTTTTAAAAAGAAGGCTGTTTTCCCAACATTCACAGGCTGACAGAGCTTTAACCAGGGCTGGCTAGGCTGGGGTCAGCATCACTATGGATACAGCACAGAAGATAATATTTTTTGTAAGAGAAGTAGATGCTGCCTTTGTGAATTAGGATCCAGTTACAATAAAAATTAAGTTAAGGCTTTCTGTACGACAGAATGTTTGCCATTACTACCTTGATGCCTGTTTCTAGTGTTCAAGTGATTTGTGCTTTATTTCAGGACACGTTAATAGAAATAGCAAGGAAGACTGTGCAAGACAGGAAATGAAGTTTTGCCACTGGCTGGAGGTGGCAGCTTAACCACACAGTTCCAGCATAGACTAACAGTTCACAGAGATCACATTACTGTAGCATTGGGCAGTGAAGCATAAGGCACAGGAGGAGGATTTTTCAGGTGAGGGAACATATGGCAACTAAGGCCTGAGGCAAATAGGGCTTAAAACCATGTGAGAGGTAGGTTAAAAAAATAAAAGCTCAGACCTGCTGTGAGCCTTCATTTACCTCTTGATTGTATCCATAAAAACCTTAGATCAGTGCAGCAAAGAGTATATACACACACACATAGACAAGGGAAGCACCAGCTGACTTGATATAGTACCTGGCTGGAAGAAAAAGGCAGCACAACCTCAAAAAGGTTTTTCAAATGGAAGAATTCAAGCATAGTGTTACATCTAGTAACTTGGCAACCAAAAATAAATTCCTTTCTTTTATAGTGCCAGGCCTCACAGTGAAGCAAGGGACATGACAAGTTTCCTATCACCAAGAATTAACTGGTGAGGTATGACAAGCTATAACATTTCATCAGTGGAAAAGGATCTTAATTTGCACAGGACCAGACAATAGGGGATACTTAAAAAAAGACAGATATCAAGGAAGGAAACAGCCCAGAAGTGAGCTACAGAATTAAAAGACAGGCTTGCAGATCACGATAGGCAAAGTTGAGGGGAAGGACTCTTTTTGGAGGTATTGTCAATTATTCACTATCATCCCTGTACGACTATGACAGAAATACTGTTTCCAGGAAACCTAGAGAAGTAAAAAGCGTGAAGTCAGAGGCTTAAGAAGCCCAAGTTCACCCTTTCTTCACTGTGTTCCGCTATGTTTTTTCGTTTGACTTGCCTTCTGTCACACTTGCCATCACTAGACCTAGCACAGACTGACTGTAAACATGATTCCAAGTAACGAGGCAGGCATGGCTCCTTGTTCATGGCGCTGCCAAGAGACAGTGCTGAGGTAGGTTTGAGAGGTACTCCACAGCTGCCTTCTACAGAAGATGTAGGACTAGCACCATTGATGGAAGAGTAGCCCGAGCTCCCTTCCCGGTTAGGGTTTCTTGGGGCAAGATATGTTGAAATTCTGTGAGTGTCATCCGCTGTCTTGGCCTTCCTCTGTGGTGCCGCATGCTCGGACCACTCTGCAGAGAGGTTGTCTTCATCGCTGGAGTCCTGACAGCAGTGCTCCGCTGGGTCCACGTACACCACCGTCACATCCAAGATTCCACTGGGACCTGTCACTGCAAGGATGATAAAAGGGAAAGGTTGGTTATGAGTTGGGCATCACCAAGCAGGCATTCAGCACAGTCGAGCAGGAAAAAAAAACATGCAAATATAAACTGCCTACTGTTGTATCTGAAAATACTGTCTTGAAATGCTAAGCCACTACCAAAATCCCTCATTATGTTCTGAAGCAGTATGTTCCTTTTCTTCTGTATATTCCTAAAACAGTTTAACAGTTATCATCACTGGGGGAAGGGGGAAGAGTTCTTCCAGCTGACCTTCTGCTGAAAGTTCAGGCTCCTGGTGCCTGAGAAACAGTTTTAAGCAAAGATAACAAGCCAGTTTTAATTCTCGTCTACTTTTTATAAGGAGAATAAAAGCCTCACCATCTCCATCTCTCTCGCCTTCGCTTTCCTGATCACCTTCATAACCTGAGCAGGAATCTAAACTCCAGTCCAGGAAGTTGTCTAGAAGGCTTTCTTCCTGGGTGGACAGTTCAGCTGTAGGCGTAGTCACAAAGCTGCCTCTGTCATCCTGAATGCTGTCTTCCCTCCTCCTGTAGCAAAGAAATGCAGAAGTCACGCATTAAAAAAAAAAAAAAAAAAAAAAAGAGATCTACTTTTCCAGCTATTTTAATAGGTATGCCAATTAAGGCAATTACAGAAAAAAATATCTAAGAATAGAACCTCAGGATACCAGAGGGGAGGAAAGAGGAGGAAAGGCTCATGTTAGTCTTCAGAGACATATAAAGCAAGGACTTATACTAGCCTTTTAGTTCTCTTTCCAGAGGGAGAGCTAAGGAAAGTCTCAATTTCCACCACATTCGTGTGTAAAGGACTGGGCTCCGGGTCCTCCTGTTTCACACCCAACACTGAGCAGAGCTGGCTGTAACTCATCATCTGAAAAATAAAGGGTCAGTAAGAATTAGATCAAGTGATTCCCTCTGCCAGGAGACAGCTATTTTATCCTTATTTTTCTAGAAGCAAGCTATCCTGGTGAGTTCTTCCTACACGTTCTCAACCCTACAGTTACAATCCCAGCAGGGGAAGTTTAAAAGCCACAACTTTACCTAGTTGTTCTCGCTTCCAAAAACCTGAAGTTAAAACCCACTTCCCCTTATGTGAAGTTTTGTACATCCTGCCACATGGTAGCTTTGCTCTGGGTGTCCAGCTTCAGCAAACGAAACAAAGAGCTAACCCACCTTTTCTTTGCCTATTTCTTCATAACGCTCATCTTCAAATCGTTGTTTCACAGCAGTTAAGGACACCTGCCTATAATCCTTTGGGACCTCATCATGGAAACTGCAAAGACAGATTGAAGTCCTAGTCTTAGAATGAATTACATGAAACAGTGAGAGCAAAACCTAGCAGTTTATGTGCATTCCCTCTGCCCACCTTAGCTCTGAGCTAAAGAAGTTGGCATTTCACCAGGGAACTAACTTGAGGAGCACCAGGTCTTTGTAACCCGGGGCCACTACCAGGACAAACAGAGTAACTGTCAGTGAAGCAGCCCCTATACTTTAGTGCCTCCTGGTAGAGGGAGCAAGGCAGTTTTCCAAAGCCACCTCCTTCATGGGGAAGGGCTGCCTATGGATGCAGCATGGCTGCAAGAGCTGGAATACACACACTCATGTTTCCTCCCAAAAGAGTTCCAGAAGTCTTACCATTTTTGGTGGAGGCTTAGCACACAGGGCAACAGGTCTTCAAGAGAGAAGCCAGTGCACTCAGACAACTGGCTGGTCCAGGGATGTGCTAGAGAAGAGAACAGGCATTACCATTTCATGTTCTATAATCAGATTTCTTTATGGGATAAAGATCAAGTGATAATGATTGCCATGAGGTTTTGCCTCTACACAGTTTAAGTTAAGAATTAGATTCAAAGATAGTTTTACTTGAAAAACTTAAGATACACCTAAATATAATCCTACATCGTAGACAATGGCAGAAATCTTCAGAATTGTTTAAACACTGGACTTGCATTGGCTGATGCTAATACTCTTGTTCGTCACAGCTATTAAGAAGTCAAATAGACTGAACTCAGCTCTTAATTTTTCAAATTTTACACCTGTTCTCCTCTCCACCCGGCCCCCCCAAAGTGACTGGGACATCTTGGTTAAACTCCAAGTAAACAAACAAAAGGCACCCTAAAAGGGAAAGGCAGACTGACATACTACAATCTGCTCCAAATGGGCTTTCCTTACCTTGACCGTGTAGTATCTTAGCCAGCAGCAGTGCCGCAGCAGCCAGGCGAGCTGGGGAATACACAAAAAGGCTTGTATTTAAGAGTGACAGTTCGCAAATGAAGCTGTAAAGGTGCAGAGTTCTTCTCTCCAGTGAGACTATGTTTGACAGTACTTCTTTGTAGTCCACAATAGTAGGTATCTAATACAAAGGATAACAGAGGTTGGCAATACAAGACAAACACCAAGTATTTAGAACAGTTGTTTCCAGAAGACATCATTTTCATTCGTGTTTTCTTTCCTTTTTTAATACTACACTAACATTGAAATATTCTCCAGCAGAAAAGTGTCCTCAACTTGTCTCAAGAGACCTAAGTACTAATCTCTACAGAAAGAGAGAGCGCTTTGCATCTGCATGCTCTTAAACATGCATGGCCTCCATAGCTAATAAAGAACATCTGCATAAAACAATAATGTCTTAGATAAGGAGCACTAATTACAAGAGCCCTACAGGCAAAAAATTCCCTCCACTTTCCAAACTCACCCTTATCTTTCCCTCCAGGGCAGAAATGATCTCGCCCATCATCCTCACCAGGTCTTCATATTTGTATGTGTTGTCCGTTAGCCACACAGCTTCCCGTATTGTCAAGATCTCTTTGCTGATGAAACTGCAATATCAAAGAATACTAACAGTTAACCCTAGAAGAGTGAGCTTGTGCACTTATGCACTATTTGTTTCTTTCTGTGGCCAATAAATGCATTCAAGAAGGCCACGGAGTTAAACTT